GAGGAGTTACAGACGGCAAAGGCGTGATTTCACGAGAGCGAACAAGGTTGAGATTCAGGGCTTTGGGTTTTCTTCGCAGTGGTCTTCTGGGCCCGAGAGTAGTGGTATATGCCTCGTCTAACGATGGACAGGAAAGATTTTTACGATACTGGTGAAGCGAGAGGCCAGAAGAGGATGCTTGGCTACATCCAATAGCGCGCAGGGAAACAAGAACGGTTGGTGCAGGACTGAGCGGGTGAGGAATGGGTTGGGAGAAAGGGTTGGAGGTGATAATAGGGGTAGGGGAGAAGGACGTGGGCATGAGGTGAGGAGTGGGGATAGGGGAGAAAAGTGGAAGAGGGATGAGGGGCGGAGGAACGCTTTGTTGATAATAAACCTCAACCCTGCTACTACCAGTCCTGCCATTTGTTCCCGGGGGCAACATGTTGCCGTATTCTCACAGGAGGACACGAACACTCATCCACATACACCTGTGCAGAATGGGGTGTTGTGAGGCTCAGTTCTCTGCGGTTCCGCTGACTCAGTCTCTTCACAGAACACCCCAAATGACACCTGGGGAAAAGACCAAGAGCTCTACCTGCTGAGGCCGTCTATCCATTAACCAGGCCCAGCTGGTTAGGATGGCCTCCTCTATAAGGCTCTGAAAGGGTCAAGGAGAATATGTTTCCGCTCACTCCGCCTGAAGTAAAATCTCAATATCAAGTTTTCCTACACCTTGTTTCATAGGCTTGAGCTCAACCGGGGGGGAGAGGGAGAGGGAGAAGGAGAGGGGAACGGGAACGGGAACGGGATCTCAACTGGTAGTGCGTTTGTCACCGTTAGAACTGATGCCTTGCAATCACTAATTCTTTTCGATGCCGCCCTCTAGCAAGTTTTTTTTTTCAAGTATGATCGTGGAATTTATCGTGCCCGATATATGACCAGGGATGTTAGGCAGAATGAGCCAGCTAAAGGAGCTGAAAAGTTCTATAAGGAAGAGGTCATGAAGGCTTTAAAGACAGGCGTCCATAGTAATAGCCAGCAGTTGCTATGCTCGAAAATCTCTCCTCAATTTTCGAATGGGAAATGACTGTGAAGAATCTATAATAGATCGATGTAGGCGGGTATCAATTGCTATCTCTTCATATATAGAAGAAAATAACGGCTCCTCCAACTCTCACGTGAAAAAGAAGACGAGGTTGAAAAATCGATCAAGCTGGAAAGGAAAAGAAGAAAACATATAAAAAAACTTCTGAGGCTATCATGAGAGATAACCAATACAACGTGAGGAATTAAAGAGCTGTTTATAACAACGGTTCTACGAAATACACATTCCCTGAACGTGAGCAGGCACACCGACAGCGCCCTCTGGACCGGGCATTATTTATGTTGTTTTATGGTGGGATGGATGGAAGGTGTGTGCGAAAGTGTGTGTGACCAAGCCCAATTTGCAGGGCAATGGAACATGCCGGGTACACATCCGCCGGGTACACGGACTCAAATTGCTGGATGGAGGGCTTCTCCCCTTTCGCCTCAGACAAACAGCGGGAGATGGAGGTGGAGGGAAGGCTCTGGGAGGGGTGGTTAAACTGCAAAGGATGTGGGATGCTTGAGATGTCCGCTAGCCAATGAGATGTGCGAACGATACATTTCCAGCATCAACCAGTCCAAGCCCCCAGCAATTCCCTTCTGCCAGTCACGTTGCAGAACATGGTATTCTAAGATATTCTTACTTACCACCAAAAACCTTCAACAAGGTCTCCAGCTGAAAGTGTGCTAGTAATGGGACAGAAAAATATATTTTTTTAATGGACTGGCGATATGGGTGTGATCCGGTACGCTAGACGTGTCCATTTTTGCTTTTTTGCATTTTTGTTTTCTTCTGAGATCATCGTGGAGTATTCAGGGCCAATCGAGGCTGTTTCTGCAAGGAACCCGCTCGAAGCGGCAGATCTCTTGATTTCTGGAGTTGGTTACGTTGACAAGTGGTGGTGAGGGAGCCGTATGGAGTGGATGTCTGTCACAATGTGTGGTTGTGTGGTTATGTGGGGATGGAAACTGGCCAATGAAGGGTACATTTCTTTTTGGATAATAACGAAGAGATAACCACCCCATTGGCGGTTGTTTGGTGGGACAACAGGCAGTGACATCTCATGCAGCTCCCTTTGCTTGTGTGTGCATGCGAGCTCTGTCATGCAACGGTTATTTTTGGCAGTCTTTTGATCCAAGGACTGGGAATACTCTCGCATCCCTATGATATCATTCAGATATGATGTTAATTTTGCTTCTCCATCTCTATTTCATGACAAATAACATTTCCAGGCTTGATGCGAATTTGCGGGTGGGTTTTCTGCTCTATGAAACTATGGAGTAAATTGCCTAAAGAAAAGCCTTGGAATTTTTCCAAAAGTTTTGAAGCCAAAATCAGGTCACGTGGTAATTTTCAACCGGGGATGTCTGGCAGAAATGTCTTGGTATATTAGCAGGAAATGTTTCCCAACAAATTCACACAACGATGAAGATGAATGTGAAGGAAAAAAGGAAGAAAGGGAAAGCTAATTGTCATTCTGGGGAGCCAATGAATACTTTCCTGACCCTTTTGATGAGATGTTTTTGAGGAGTAGTTATGGTATCTTTGAATGGACCCAACAATCTCATCACAACTTGTCTCGTTCTCTCCTAGCCAATTAAGAGACGTCTTTCAAGATTTCCCAGCGCAAACAAGATCTCTAAGTTGGCTTCTATTAATTCCTATTTAGCGCCTGGAGGATACCAACCGTCTGTCCATCCCGCTGGGTTGCGAGGGTGAGGTTAGTGCGTCATCTTTCCTCCCTTCCCACGGACTCCACCTGATGGCAAATCTAGATCAAATTCCAAAGCAATCAAATGGCCACCCCAACATATCACATAACAATGACCAGTCAATACAACGTTTTCAAATCTATCTTGGTGGACTACCACCATCTGAAAAATCTTGAGGGAGCAAGATTGGGTTGTTCTCCATTCCCTCCTACTAAAGGGACTGGCCTGATTGAACTGTCCCTTTCATGTTCGAATAGAGAATATAGGCATTGCCTTGTGCCTTCTAACATCTGTGATTCTTAACCTGGATTGGTGAAGCGAAAGTGGGCGGATCAGGAACCACAGTGGATCTCTATTTGCAGATACGATCGAACCTGCGGAGAGGTTACACAGTTTTAATTTTGTTTTCCCCCAAAACTCTCTGCCCAGACCCTTCACGGCATGTACAATCGAATGGAAAGGCAGGTTTAACCTTGCATCCACTATGCTTTTCACGTGTCAAATTTCCCTAAATATCGAAAAATTGGAGTGATGGAGCTGGGGTTTATGAATGTGGACTCGTGAGAGCTGAATTGGGGATTTGAAGGGGATCCGACGTTTTGCCCTGGTGTGTTCGACGACTCCGCCACAGATATCATGCCGTCTGTGACAGCTCGAATTCTCGCTCGAGTGAAGCAATAATAGCGATACTAGCCTGCAAATCCTAAGTTGCGGGGGTGTGGGATTTATCCTTAGCAAAAGCTGTACCTGAAATTATGAACGAACTCTGTCATCTTGTGACTGTACCTGAAACTTTTGTGCAAAGTATCTATCGTATAGGACCTAAAATTTTCACTTGATATCACGGCTATGCCCTGCTCTATTCTATGGGTCCTTAATCGGGTGTATCGAGTACAAGCACATGAAAACCATAGCTTGTTAAAGAGGTATTAACACACGTGAAATAATTGTTTTAAAGAAATCAAAATAGAATGAAGATCAAATCTTTGGTGCATTCCTTAACATCCGCGGAATCGAATTATGCTCGCAGGTGGCTTAGTGCATACATTAATTGCTGAGGCGGTGCAACACCTCACTGCAAATTTATCTCTGACCTTTATTTTTAACCAATTGTATCAAACCTTCCAAGGATTCAGGGATTATCTTGCAGGATATGCAAGGTTGGTCATTCATGAGTGAGGAATTTCCAGAAGAAATTAAAAACATCTTCTCAAAAACAAACCCTGTTTCCCTAAGCCCTTCTATCCACTTGCCCTCCTGAATCGAAGATTTTCTTGGCTGCCGGATGTTTTACATATTTCCTGCATCCTGATATTTGACGAGTAAATATGAAGCAAGTATATGCTGGGAACGTAATTACTGTTTAACTGATTTTGAGCTTGTGAAGGTATCGGAGGGATGCTGACTTCCGATGAAAATTAAGGAGATGATTTTTCCTCTGCTGTCTTACCGGCAATAGTTGCAGCATATTTGCATTCCTGAAACCAGACTCAGCCGCTCCCAAGTCCCCGTTTATCCAATGGCTGCAATTGTTTGACAGGAAGGAAAGGTGTGAAGAGGAAGACAACTGGTGTTTCTAAGAGAGATGCTTAACTTTGCAAATAAAGAAAATGTATGTGTAAATTTATGTGGTAGATATATGCTAAATATTAGTTATCAATCTCTTTGGCAACAACAGGAAAATAATAAAGAAACAATCAAACTATATCGATCAAAATCAGCAAAGCAAGCCATGGTGTAGAGATCAGAAGGAAGTTGATATCAGTGGTAATGATTATGATGAGATGTATGTAAAAATTGAGGTTGTAAAGAAAGGGGATGTCAACACGTAAGTAAAACAAAAAGCAAGAGGTCTTTATGTCGTAGAAGTGGTATCATTCCAAATGGAGCAAATGCGACAGTCCAAAACGATAGTCCTTGAAAAAAAAAGAAACGCCATTCTCATAAAACCCCGTCTCTTAGGTCATGAATGCAATGGGTAAATCCCCAAATAGCCCGGGAAATGTCATGATAGAGGGAAATATGTAAATAGTTCGTAAACAAAATCGTTCATGAATGGAGAGTGGCTCATGAAACTTGGGTTTGTGGTATGTAGAAGAAATTAGAAGAAATGTTGAGAGTGGAGGGTTGAGGTTGAAATAGAAAGTCATGCAAATTTGACTCAAGGATCAGGTTAATTAGAGGCGTAATATTCCTCCTAGAACTCGCACCAGATGGTTTTAATGTCGTTTGTATTTCTAGATCAAAACGTCAGTAAATTTGTGTGCTGAAATAGGGAAAAAAAGAGACGAAAACTTACATCCTCCACTCGTCTTCTGTTAGTAGGGTCTAACGAATTTCCAGCACCCAATAATGTTTGTCCAAGAGCCTTCGATGCTCCAATAACAGGTCGCAAAATTACAGTGGGAGCTCGCTTCAACAGGGCCTTAGCGGCACCTTGTGCGCTTCCGCTATCCAACACTTCTCCAGGAACAGCAACAATTGCATCTCGCGCCATGAGGAGATCACGCTCGAGACTCGCATATGCGCCACGAAGACCTTGCACAACACCAACTGGCTGGTCAGCATATGGAGAGAATTGCTTTTGCTGGTCTTCATCAGCCGAGTCATCATCCTGTGCTACAGCGCTTCGTTGACCGCCTGGGGCGTTCAGAAATTCTTCAGTACCCTGGAGGACGGTTTGGGTGCCGATTGCAAGTTTAGCTCCCAACTTAACGAGTTCATTGGTTGTTGTTTTGGCGAATGCTAGAGCACCCTTTTGGATACTGCGTACGATTCGGCCATCTTTCTTGTACTCGCGCATTGGGATAACGACAAGATCCCTGAATCCACTACCGACGCCAACAAAGGACTTGATTGGCGCTAATCCGGCAAGGACTCCTGGGAGTTGGTTGGCTTTGATATCCGGCATCCAAATATCGTTGAGCGTTGTTCCTAGTTTCTCAAAACCGGAAACACCGTAGATAATTACGTGCCGGAGGACCATGTCGGCTTCCTCGAGAACGAAGAAGTTCATAAATTCAGTGGTGCGTCCGGATCTCAAACTGCCATAATCTACCCTCTTTGGCTTGAAATCTAACCTGACACGAACAGCATTCACTTCGACTCTTTGCAAGAAAGGCAACTCGCTAGGCGAGGTATTAACTGGTGATGTGTCATTTTTGAATTCGAAGAATCGAGTTAAGAAATCTAGAGCGTCTTGATCAACATGAAGACGGAGGGGAAGGATTGTTGCCTGAAGATACCAAGTTAGTACATTAATTTCAAGAGAGCAGAGGAATAAGGAAACTCGGTTTAATATTTATAAATACCTTAAGAACGATTTCTGACGCAGCAAGTTCTGCGACTGGCTTGACATTCAGAATCTCCAAATGAACCATACTAGTGCCGCTCTCCTTTTCACCTGCATCATACATATATGTTGCGAATTTTCTCCAGTTGGACGACGGCACATGGTCAAAAATTTCAAGATCGTTGACTCGAATATCAAGAGAGCTTTGAGTCTCACCGGATCCGGGAGGAAACACAACCAAATCGGCAGATATGCCCCGCAGTTCAATTGCCATTTTCTGTCGTTTGCTGCGTGTCAATCGGAGTCTCTTGTGCTTTTTCGAAGGAGGTTTGACGGTCTGTGCTGATCCATCCGTCATTGTGGTGGATGTGGCAAAGCTACCCGTCTCACTAGCCAGGTCATCGATATGGGCGTTTATGTCTTCACGAAGTTGTTGAGGGTTTCTATTGGAAGGTATTCCGATATAAATGGAATTAAACAGGAAATCCCCAATCACATCTTCCTTGTCATCGATATCGGGCGAGGCACGTCCGTTAACCCGCGCGAATCTTTCGCTGGCTTTCACTTCAACATCCTTGACAGCTTTAGAAATAGCATCCCTGGTGTGCTGCCAGTCAAAGCCATCAAAAAGATTCCATATAAAATGTACGTCGCGAACTCTGACCCTAAGGGGGCTGCCGCGAAGCTTGCCGTCATTGGTTAGAGCGTAGGTATTGTATGTGGAGTCCCATCGATGAGCTGTACCTCCGACTGAAGACTTCCTTGAAAAATGATCGTCCCGGAAATCCAAACTGGAAACGCTTGAGAGGTGAGCGTGAGAATGAAAGCTGTCGAGAAGCTTCTTTGATTCGTAAGCGACGCCCGGAAGGGTGTCATCGCTAGATCCGTGTAGGCCACTACCTAGTTTATCCCTACCTAATCCTGATGCTATAGGATAAAAGTCACTGAAATATTCAAGTTCCTCCGCCAAATCACCTCCGTTACCATCCTCGTCAATACTGGTAGGATTGGATAGATTCTTGGACATTGGTATTGGGTCCGTATCGAAAGCGTTCCCAGTGAACGAACTAAGCATGTCATCTATTGGCATGACTTCCGTCCGATATTTGAGTGCCTTACTTGGAGGTGTAGGTGGTATCAACTCATTTAAGATGGAGATCAATGTTTGAGTGGAATCAGCGCAAGTTTCCAGGACAAGTAAGTCATCCTTCACGTCAACATCAACGGACTTCTCTCCATTCTCATCTAGTTGAATGACTTTTAAGACAACAGCTGCAGATGAAATGTAACAAACCGGAACATATCCTAGGTTACTTAAAAGTTGGACTTGAGTACTCTGAGCATCATTATTTGTTCGCTTATGGAAACGCTCTCTTGTCCCGACGTTTCGGACATCGTCGATGATCATAAGAGACGCCTTTTGGACTTCCAACGAAGCGTCTAGTGTTTGATCCTTATCTAGGGAGCCTGAAAAGTTCGCATGCGTGAATACCGCTAGGCCCCTGGCGGGTGATTTTCGAGGAGTAAGTCCGGCTATGCAATCTCTCAAGGCGACGGATAATTTCGATGGTATCGATGAAGGCGTGGAGCTTTCCAAGCTCATAGATGACTGTGTAAGTCGGTGAGATTCCGATTCGTTAATCTTCAGTTCAGCTAAGTTGACAACGGAGTTTGCGAGATTCGCAGCAAAATCCTCAGCATTCATATCGTTGTCAAGTCCTAGAAGTGCAACGATTGAGGGTACTGTGTATTCGAAGCGAACATTGTAGAGTTTTATTTTGATAGTTGGGTCCATTTCATCCGCAATGAACCTGGCCATTATCATCGGCAGGGCTGCAGCGCTGTTATGGTCTGGAGAATTGACAGCTTCTCCAACAAACTCCTCGTCATCATTTCGTACAATCGCCACCGTAGAAACCCTGGCTGCCATTAGCGATGGAATGTTGACGTGGGCCGCCTCCATTCCTGTCGAAGTGAGTTCAATATCGCCTATCTCTCCACCAAGTGCAACTGCACACTCAAATTCGCAAATGAGAGCCAGCGTAAGTATACCTGGTCTATCATCTTGAGGCAGATATTTTGCCACAGTTGATAGCCTGGCCAATTCATTTCCAAGACTTGATATGGGTATTAGCGTCTCAGGATGGGGCAAATCCGCCTTAAGACTTCCAATTGTTAATCGGAGCACCGCGCCTTGTTTCCTCTGTCTGAACAGAGTGTCTAGCATTATATCATCGTCATCATCATACTTATCCCTGGATGGAGTCAGAAGTAAGAGGAGGCGGTCCAGATCTTCCTCTGTTGGTGAAAACACGAATTGAATGCGAATGTTCAATAGATTAACAATTGCCCTAGCTTCAACATCATGATCGCTATCATTCAAGATTGGTCCAACTAATTTTCCTTTGTCAATCTGAATAGTTATTCCCGCTAACCGGCTGACAATTTTGACAGCAGTAGTTTCAAGTTTAAGGCTGCATTGTTCCCCTTTCAGATTCATGACGAAACCCCTCATTCGAGCGTTAAGTTTCCAGGGTATAGGGTTGACTCCAGCACCATTTGCCACCGGTAACGGTGGAGGTTTTAACGGTGTTGCCTCAAAGTGAACGCCACGAGGCCGCTGGGTGGTCTCGACTTTCCCTTCTTTGATGGAGGAGGTTGACGAAATTGAGCTTCCAAGCTCCAAAAGAGTGCTTAATCCACCAAACCAGCTCAAGATTTCGTCAAGCCGTTGAAGGTTGAAGGAGAAGTGAATTGGAAGAGTTACCAGATCTACCCTGGTGTACTCCTTTGTTGACTTCACAAATAATGAAATATCTCCTTTTTTCGAATGGAAATCATCTCTTATGGAATCACGCATTTTAAGACCTTCGTCAAAGGAAATAATATCTTCTGACGCATGGCCAAAAGTAAACTTGGAAATGTTAAGGACCAAATCTGACGCGTCTTTGTGAACTAAGGATTTGAATTTTATTCCCGAAAATAATGCGTGTAGGATAAGCTCACTGGATGAAGAAGTATCCTCTGGGGTTGTAGTATCGACAGTAAAATGGCGGACAGGAAGATGCTGCAATAGTCTCAAGGAGCAACTCGAGAAGTTTAAATCTAGAGGTGGGATGGCGAGGCTCTTCCTTTCACCTTGCAATTCACCTTTCTCAGTATTTAAACTCCAAATAGAGACAAGCTTTTGCCCCATTTTGGCCACAAGCCAACCACAAGCGATGTCAAACTCGACGATAACAGCAGATATATCAACAGCAACGGTGTCAGCTGTTTTCAGTGAGTCACGTGCAGATGCTTGAGACGGAGGGGCCAATTCCGGAGGTGGTGGACGGGAGGACGTTGATGATCTGAGGGAACACCCTGACAGAGGATGTTTAGGACTTGGTGACATTTCATAAGTAACCGAATCAGAAAAGCTCATGGTTGATGCCTCCATATGATTAAAGCTTTTCTTGGGAGGGTCTGTTGTCATCGACTTCTGAGCATCGACAAGTTGATTTTCCAAGGACGGCAACCATATGGACAGTTTGTCAATTTCAAAAATTTTCTTCGCCAGTTTAGAGTTATATTGCGTTGGGTTAGACGGGGAGTTTGATGAAGTCGTGTTAGGACCCGGCTGGTTTGGGACTGGAAGGAGGGGAGTTCCCAACATGTCCGGGGCAACCGATTTTTCATCGACAAGCTGCGATCCAACAAGAGGCTGGGCTTTTGGTGTCCCTTCTGCACCTGTTGAAGGGACATCGGCATCCGACACGGGTGAATCAGGAATGGTAGAGGCGATATCTATCGTGCTATTTCCATATATCGGTGATTCCCATCCTCCGGGCATAACAGGGAAAGCTTCAGAGCGAGCTGACTTGGAACTCATAACGCTCATATACATACTTATTGCCTCTCCATGAGTGAATATTTTCGATTGTGACAGGTCTTCATAGGGGTTGGGTTCTGAATGGCTGCTTTGCGGACTGGTAGATTCGGTTTCTCTAGGTTCGTCGATACGAGGAATGCTGGCTGAAGAGGAAGGTTCAGGATCCACAATGCCCGGATCTGGAAAATCCTGTTGACTGGTACAAGGTGAAGTTCCTTCTGAGCCTTGGAAAGCGGGAATCTGAGGAGCAGAAGAGCTCTCCATCGAATGGTACATATGATCGTCAGGAGAGGATTCAGGGCTTTGTGGGCGTAGTGTATCCACGGACGGTCCATTCATAGATTCCGTGGAATGATCCATTGATGGTGAGCTTTCAACATCGTCAGCGAGATGGATCCTCAGGGCTTCATCGAGATAACCAGGGCCATCTAGAGTTTTATCATCGTATTGGCTTTCAGAAAATAGGAGAGAATGATTTGAGCAACTTCCAGCCCCATACTCATACTCCGATCCTGCGTCAGAGAACCTGCCATCATCTGAATGCATAGAATCCTGAAGAGGTGGTGGAGCTCTATCTTCTAAAATTAACGACTGCTCAAGAATAGTTCCCCGAGACATTGCAAGGGAGGTGTCTGAGGAGGAAGTGGGCGGCTCAGGTGAAGGTATCCTTAGTGGCGTGTGGATAAGCTTGGAATGAGTGGTGGAAGGGGAAGCCGGAGGAGGGGCAATGTGGGAGTAGTTAGAGAAAACCCCAGCATCGGAAAGGACCATCAAATTAATTTGGGAGAAGGCTATATGGCGTTTACCAGGCTTCAGGTCTGACTTTTCTTCCAGCGACGATGTCACACTGTCTATGGATAAATCCTGGATCGTAAACATAGCTGTAACAGGATCTATAGTCAGATCTGGAGAAGGCTTCAATGCCTTATCCTGCCGCACTTCCATGTCGATCGTGAATGTCACATCCTTAATTTTTAATTGCAGACGATTGGCAACTCCTCTGAGAAACGCGGCAACAAAACTGGGGAGTGACATTCCCCCATCAAGCCCAACACCTAGTTCTTCCTCTCCATCGTCACTGAGCCCATCTGAGCTTTGGGAGTAGTGGGACTGGGACAAAATCGCAGCTCCCAGTTCCGCCTTTTCAACTCGTGGTTCCGATCCAAGAAACGATTGGGCCAGGTCCGTGGTGGATGGAAGGATATTCCCCTTCTCGCCGGTTTGGATATGGCTCCTGGGTCCAGGTTTGTTGATTCCGTTTTCGTAGGGACCCTTTGACTTTACTGCGGCTCCGGAGACCTCGTGATCTACTTCGTTCGACCAAGCCTCATCCGACGGTAACTCCAAGTTGACTTGCACATCTTCAACCTCTACAACGATGCTGCTGCTGTATATATCTGCGGGAATCGTCACACGAATGAGGGAGACCTTAGCTTTCTTAAGGCTACAGGACGGAGGCAACCGCAAGACTGAAGACAGCTTCTACATAACGGAACAGTAACGTGTCAGCTCTATTCTTCTTCAAGGTCGGGATGGAGACTACACCGAATCAGACGTAACATCAAAAACAAAAGAAGAACCAAAAAAAAAAGAAGAAGAAAAATATACCTCAAGCCGTAAACCAATATCCCTCAGTTCAAAGGTACTCCGCTGGCCCCATTTGATGCCCAAACTCTCCAAATCAAGGGCATCGGTATCGACCAGCTCCAGCCGCGAAAGTGCATATCTCAGCAACCGCTTCTGGAAGAACGAGGGAAGAAAGTACGACATGGTGAAATAAGGAGAGGGGCGAATCCAGAGCCTCCGGGCTCATAGGGAGCTAAAACATGTCATCGAAAGGTGCTCGCAACATAGGAATCGACGGGTATGAAGAGTGGTGGAGCGTGGCTCGGGTTTGAGTGTGGTAGAGATGTGGATGGGTTGGACGGCAACCTAGAACTCCACGGGCAGGATGTGGCCATGAGAAACGAACGAGGTGGTAGTAGGCAGAAAAGCTAGAAACCACCGTTCATTTAAACGCCCTGATTTCTTTCGTCGCCTTGCATCAAGTCCAGCTAACCATAAAGGGGCCAGGACGAACAGTGGCAGCCCGGGAGGGGGTTGAGTTGTGGTGGTCGTTAGCGGTCGTAATGGTGGTTGTTGAGCGGGTGAGGTTGGTCAAATTAGGCGTGAGCCTGTCAGTGCCCGGGTGCGTCATTCATCGCTCATCGCCGCTGCATTGCAGGTGGCAGCCCCATAACCTGGCAAACACCAACCAGATCAAAAAGTAGGTTTGGCTTAGCCCGTGGCTTATTAAGCTCGGGATTATAATTAGTTAACTAACTATAATCGTAAAACCACAAGCGAGCGAGACACCCAAGCAAGTTGAAGATCACTACTTTTTAACCTACTAATTAAAAATTCCCTTCTCTTCAACACATAATTATACCACCAATTCAAAAAAGAAATAAAAGAAAAGAAAAAAAAAAAAACTTCAAATTCTATCGAGAGTGATGGAAGGCTTGACTAGCAATATCTGCTTTTAAAGAGGAAGAAAAAGGCTCTATTCATGAGATTGCACGTCTTTACAACGCCACTCTCTACTCTAGCTCACAGACTTAATGACCAGCCTTCATGAGTGAATTTTACACACAAATTCACATAAATTATCCTCTACTAAAGAAAAAAGACTAGTTCAATGAGTGCTGGATCTAGCTAAACAAGAAATACTCCCTCAACCGGCATTTGTGAAAAATATGGTCAACCATATTCTAGCCTTCCATTCCCTATCTTTCAAAATACCCACCGTGTGGGAAAGAATTGGGTGTCAAATCTGCTGACACATCTTCCGGAGCTTCAATGCTGTTATTCTCATCATTATAACCATGGCCAGGCCAAATGTGAGGATATGAAAGTTATTCAGACTTGATTTAAGACTTTGGAGGATACAATTGCTGAGCATGGAATTCGGACTGAAGATATCTACAACTTTGATGAGACTGGATTTGCAATGAGACTCTGTGCAACTACTAAGGTCATTACTACTACTGAGCACTATGACCAGGCAAAGCTGTTACAGCCTGGAAATCGAGAATGGGTGACTGCTGTTGAGTCAGTCAACATGTCAGGCTGAGCCTTACCCCCATACATGATTCTTAAGGGCCAGACTCTACCTGAAGGCTGGTTTGATGGGCTGCCAAATGACTGGAGACTAGATGTTAGTCCTAATGACTGGACTACAGATGAAATTGAACTTAGATGGCTTACATGATTGTTTATCACTATTACCAATCCTCATAGAATTGACACTCATCAACTTCTTGTTCTGAATGGGCATAGATCAGATCTGCAAGGATAATAAGATTATCCCTCTATGCATGCCAGCACATTTATCACATCTCTTGCGGCTGCTAGATGTGAGTGTTTTCACAGTTTTGAAGCAGGCATATGAAGGTCTAGTTGGACAGTGAATGCATCTTGGATTCAATACTATTAAGAAGCATGACTTCTTGGATGCCTATCCTAAGGCCTGTGCAGAGGCCTTTAAAACTTCAAAATAACTTCAAAATATTAAAAATGACTTTCTAGCTACTGGAATAGTTCCATTTGAACCAGATCAGGTTAGTCAGCAGCTAAATATTCGACTTCGGACTCCTTCTCCAACTAGCTTAGCCAGCAACTCTCAGTCATCCTGGGTCCTACAAATGGCTAAGAACTCCCGTCAATTACACAGGCAGGTGGATAAGGTCATGGGCCTTATGACACAAGGCCTTGATGCCTCTCAAGATTTAATGAAAGGATTTGATCAGATTATTAAAGCTTGTGAATATGGGATGGTCCGTGTCACTGTTATGAAGAAGCAATATCAGGATATATTCAATGCCAATGTGGTAGAGAAGCAAAAGCAGACGATATCCCTCCCCCTGGCAGAGGCCCTGATCCCAGAGTCTATGCCACAATTACAGGCTCCACCACACTGCAAAAACTGCCATACTGTAGGGCATACCAGAAGAAGCTGTCATAATCCTATTTCTAATTAATTTTATATGGTTATTTGTTGTTGGAAGTAGATAATTTGGGTAATTTTGAGAGATTCAATTTTAGTGTCCCGCTCACTCGTGGATTAGTTAGTTAACTAACTTCACTGTCAGTCAGCGTAACTATAGTTAAGTTACCTAAATATGTGTAAAATGCTAAGAAAGAGGAGAGACATTATAAGGTTTGATGATGAAATATTCACCTGCAATATAACGATCCCATCGTCAACTATGAATTTTGAAATATTCTACTGCATCTTAAGCTGCCAAGGTATTAACTAATTGAACATAGTAACATAATGAGAACCACTTCCTACTGGTCGATATTCCGTCACCTGAGAGGAACGTTCGGAACCGTGTTGACAGTACCAAGCACCAGACCCGAAAAACGCCACTAAATGGGCCACTCCAATTGCTGAGCCTGCTTGCGTTATTTTTGTTGTCTCTGGTTTCGTTTTGACTTGTCATTTCCCCTATTTTCATTTGGAATTCCCGTTTTCATTGCTGTAAGGTAGGCCTGCGCAGAACTTCTTTGCGGCGGAAATATATCTGGTGATAAGACGAAACTGCTTCCCAAAGAGGACCGCTGGCAATGTTTCAGGAAATTCCAGATTCCTAAAAACTCCTCTAGGAGGTAACAATGGATCGTGAAGCAAGAAGTAAACCCAATGGACCTGGAGGGGAACAAGAGAATTGCCAGTGACAGTATTCCAGGTGGTTGAAATGCGAGAGGTGTAGTAAAACAATGCTTTCATTTTATTCAGCCTAGGCAATGTCTAAGGTTAACCAGTTTTTTAAGATAGTAGATTGTGTATGTTGTGTGGGTTTCTTGCATGAATGACCAGTCTCTTGATCCACTTCACAGACCATGATCTCTGTTAATAATTCATCAATGGTTGTCTGGAAGAAACTCATGCAACAGCACAATGCAGATATCTGAGAACTTACTGTTAACAGACTCAGAATACCTAACACACAATGTCCAGGCTACATGAAAGAGTGGAGGGTGCTTCTTGATGTCAATTCAATAAATTTTTTGAATGCACAAAACATTCGCCTGTGCAGTCTTGAAAGAAATGTGCATCAGAGCATTCTTTTCTTGTCATATTAACTAATTTTCATGAGAGCTAAGCAATCCAGGGATAAGAGCTACCATGTTTACATGCAACAATAAAGCTACAGTCTTCTGCTGCTCTCCTGTGTTCATGTAGGTCTGGAGAGAGATACGAACTTCCAACTATTATTTCCAAGCATGACACAGGTGGATGTTCATGCTTTCATTAAAATCAATATCCTCTCTCATCCTTTAAAACAACCGCGAGCTACTTCTCCTCATCCTCATCAGCCTTCGACCCGAACTCCAACAGCACCCACCGGCAAAAAATTTCGAATTCAATATACCATTCTTTCAAGCGAATAGCCTTTGCATCCGCTCCCATGATTCCTGAACGGATATCCCGCAGCCATTCTGATGAACTCTGGTCCTCAAAACAGCTCCAACGGATCGAGTTCTCAGCCATGGAGGCAAGTCCAGAAAGTCCAACATTTTCCAGCCCGTTGAGGACCTGACAGAAATCATGTGTCAGTCCATTCTTGCCGTATCCCAGGAGTGTAGGGTAGTCGTTGCATAATGCAACGGGAACACCTCGCGCCAACAATGCGGGGAGTGGGTGTGTTATGATTGAGCTGGTAAGGCGGAGGACCTCATTTGATATAGGACAGCATTCGATCAGGATCTTCCTTGCCTTGACTATGTCAATGAGAAGTGGATGTTTGTGGAGTGTCAGGGCGTGTCCTATCCTCCGTGTGCCCATCAGGATGGCATCGTAGAGATTGTGATCTGTTTCGTCACCATCCCCAACCCATTCTCCAGCATGGAAGAAGAATGGTATATCTACACCAGCCTCAACACATTTCTTCCTGAACCAAAAGAGAACGGGGACTAAATTTTTGAGAGACCTTCCCTTTTCCTCCTGACCCACAACGTCATAGCCGGCAATCAGTTCCGGGAATTTCTGTTTAATTGCAATACAGTGTTTCATGTTTCCCGCAATCGTGAGATTTGAAAACGCTCGCACTGTCGTCCAAATCATTCTTGCTCCATAGAAACCTTTCCCCGCAGGGGAGGATTTAAATTTCTCAATCTCTTCAGAAAAAGCTTGGAAAAAGGCTTCATAGTCTGATTCATGTTCATCGTGTTGGTCACGTCGATAGGGAAAATCAAACGCCAGTCGGAATTCAACGTACCGGATGCCGTCATCGTTCAGCTCATTAAGCATTTGTTGCATGCATGCACGGAACACAGGTTCATAGTACACAATAGAATCAACAACTTGGAAAGTGCGCATAAATTGAACCCAAATATCATCAACGCCTCGATGATGTGAAGATGCATCGTTAGCAAGAGTACATCGACTTTTAAACCAGGTACGGAACCTCTCAACTCCTCCGTTGGGGAACGCGCTGGCCATCTGAGACACAGGAGCAAAAGATGATGGAGTATACCCCGCTTCCCAAGGAAAATTGCTCACTCCAGACGGCTCTGGAGGAGCTGAGAAGTACCGGAACGAGAGAGGGCTCGTGTTCCAATCCTCCGCTGAGACAAGCGGGGTTGAAGAGGACACGTATAAGTTGGGAAGTGACAGGATCAAATCACATAATAGATCCAGATTGATCATAGCTTCTAGATGTGCATGCAATAAAGAGCCTGGAAATTATTAAAATCAATACAAACCTGTATCTTAGCCAGGATGACCTCGTGACACTGATCATAGGTAAGTACTCACCTTTAGGCATTTTCTGGACAATTTTCCACAGATCTGTTTTCTCCATTCTCTCCCTTGCTGAATGGAACATCATTCCCGGATAGAGCGTTTCATCCGAGTGCTCAACCAGCTCCTTTTCTGCCTCCTTTGTCCAGACATCTTTCAACTCTCTCCGGCGGATTGCAGAAACTATTTTACATGCTTCAGTAGCTGCCGCAGACATTGACTTGCGAAAATGGGCATCTAGATGTCCTTTAGCCTTCAATGTTCCAGTAATCATATTCATAATACTAACCAAGTCGCAACTTATGCTCTTCCTCTATCAACTCATCGCGCCCTTTGAGATATTTCTGGATGAACGGATCCTTGAACTGGGGAATGCCCTCCATTAACTGCTACTCATCATCAGTAGCCATGATTAGGTTTGGCAAATTTGACTCTCTGGAGAATTGGGAACGATAATTAGAAAATTGGTTTATTCTTGCTAGAAGTTACAGGGAAGCGGGAGTGTAAGACGGGTGAGAGGGTGAGACATCAGCGCGCGGCTGATATCTAGCGCCATATGGCGGACCGTATCATTGGTTCAACGTGCTGCGGTTGCATACGGCCTCCACCTTTAAAATTTGCTTTTAATCGTAAAAAGTTGCCTTTTTTCATTAGTTCTTCTTTTGAGGAATAGCTTTCCTATTACGCCTGTTGTTGCCCTTTCGGGCTAGATTTGTGCCTCTATAAAAGAGGGGTGGAATCCTCCGTTCGCTGATAGAAAAGCTCCATAGATCATCATCACTATTCTGCCTCACAGAGGATTAGTTACCTATTTTAGCTTCACCGCCTTCCTATTCCGTACATCATCTCCCTATCTAGTCCGTATAGGACATCTCCGTATATCGGCTATCTCATACGTTTGACAGAGTCAGGTTGATTTAACTACTAACTAACTACCCAGAGGTTGTATCATCTATAACTACACCACGGACACTAAAAGCAATACCCCCACTGGTCTATTTTCAGCAATCTTCATATCTTCGACAACTTCATTGCTCGTTTCTTCTCCAAGGCCCTTAGTTCTGCTCTCTTAATCTTCCCACTGATTGTCTTTGGTAAGAAACTAGGCTCTACAAACTGTATCCGTCGTGGATACTTGTACGGGGCTGTTTCCTTCTTACAGAACGCCTGTATTTCAGCAATGAGGGACTCTGGATCCAGAAATTTAAAATCTTCTTGCAAGACAATAAACGCTTTAACGATCTCACCACGCTCAGGATCTGGGGAAGCAACTACGGCAGATTCAACAACGGCGGGGTGCTTTTTGAGAACAGATTCAATTTCAAAGGGTCCTGTAAGACAAATCACAATTAATATCAGTCCTTACCTTACTGACTCTCCACGAGTTGCTTTGCAAAGAACCAAGACTCACCAATCCTGTATCCAGATGAGTTTATAACATCATCCGATCGACCGACAAACCAAAGATAACCGTCATCATCTTTATAAGCTCTATCTCCAGTTAAGTAGTAGGAGCAGGCCTTTCCTTCTCGCTGTGGCAACGTAACTTCGCCCTCTGGGCTTAGATAGCCAGAGAAGACATTCATAGTTTTGGCTCCAGAACTGGTCGTAGTTGCAATGGCAATTTCACCTTCTTGTAACGGTGGTGATTCATCGCCTTGCTCATCGATGACCGTCAAAGGCACACCAGGTACAGGAAGTCCCATGGAACCGTATTTAATCTTGGCCCCTTTCAAATTTGCGCAAACAAGGGTTGTTTCCGTCTGGCCATACCCGTCTCTAATTTCGATTCCACTCATTTCTTTCCAGATTCGAATTACCTCGTCATTCAGCGGTTCACCTGCTCCGACGCATTGCTCTAGAGCCATTGGAGGTTTTTGAGAGAAATACTCGCGCCTTGACGGTAGCACAAATTGACGATAAGCAGTGGGAGGGGAGCAGAGAGTAGTGATGGGGTAGTTGTGTAGATTATCGAGAGTGCCTTCAGCGTTGAAGGGTCCCGCAGTGTCTTGCACAAAAAGAGCTGCACCACAGTTCCAGGCAGCAAACCATGACCAAGCTGCCTTCGCCCAGCCTAAGGCATCGAATTGTGGTAAGCTGAAAATTCCGTATTTTATAAAAGACATGAAAAATGGGCGCTCCTTGGAGGGAGTTTATTCTTTTGCGTGAGGATTCGTACCTTGCTCTGAAAGATTCCAGTACAGCTTTCCAGGTTCCAATCCTAGCCACAAGCTGCCGGTTAAGGCGTGTGCTTTTTGTGAGAGAGAGTCAGATGAGTTTTTATATTCCAATGGCAATTGGCACAGCAATTATCTAACCTAGAGGGTACGAAACTTGGTTATGGAGAACCATCTTTGGCATGCCAGTTGTACCTGATTTGGAACTTTAGCCCCTGACTCTTTTATCTTGCATAGGATTTCATGGAGAACAAGCGGTGGATTAACAAACCTGACGTGAAATAAATTACTGATGGATCTGACCACTTAGTTTTTGGTAGAGAATCTTTAAAAACAAAGTTCCTTGGTATCTGGTCTAGCTCTACAGGATATTGGAGTACATCCTCAAGTGGTGACCCGGCTGCTTGCAAGACTGTTCGAATATTGGTGCAATCGGACTGGATAGTTTTAAACTTGGAGATGGTGACATTGTCTCCGACAAATATAGACGCCCCAGATGCCTGCGCACGATATTTGATGTCTTCCGCTACAGCAAGCACTGGACATGGACAGACAACGACACCAATGCGAAGAGCAGCAGTTGCAATTTCCCACCTACAAATCTATCAGCTCGCAATCTCCCGTGTGAGCATTTAGGAGAGGGTTGATTGTGTTACTCACCAGGCTGGAACTCGTGGGAGAACGATGATCATCCGATTTCCTCTTCGTGCTCCAAGCCTAGTCAATAATTCAGCTACGCGGTGCGATTGACGCGAAAAGTATGCAAAATCAAGAGATAATGATCTTTTGCCATGTTGGTCGACCCAAAGCATCGCTTGGAGTGATGGCGACTGGGCGGCCCATTTTTCAACGACGTCAAGCGTGAAGTTGAAGTATTCGGGACACGGAGGAAGTTCTCGCATCACGGATGGCGGCATGGTATCAGTTACCTGATTTAACTAGAATTTGTAACAATCTTGTAAATGAAAAATTGCACTCCTGAAAAGTGATTCTTATTTATTATTGCCCTTTGGGAGAAGATATAGCACTCTTAACTCAAGGCTAAAAATAAGCTCGGCGATTAATTCAGCTCAGCTACCCCACTTTTGGACCCTAATTGGCTGGAGACTTTGCCGAGTGCTGGTGTTCAGCGAGTTCATATGCGAGATGGATCGGCCCGCCATCAGTTTACCCCGAACTCCATCGCGTTAACTACTTGAGAAGAATTTGAGATATCAACCAACACCACCACAGCGAAATAACAATGAGGTAATTAATACAAACTTAGAATTCTTATGAAGTTCTTGGCTTTTTAACTTGATCTTTACCTAGCTCTTTCAGTGGCATTCGAGGGACAACGGCCTTTGGTGATCAGGGGATGAGCCTTGGAATCTATCCCTAATAAGGCGACAAACGGAGGAAATCCATAGATGAATTCAACGAACACAGATCAATTTATTTCCTCTTGACGTTACAGTGAAATGAATGCTAGCTTATTTCAAAAGCAATCATGCAAATTAGGATCGAATAAATAGGCCGATTTGCTGCACGAAGAACGGGAATCTCGCCTTCAAGAGTAGACATTCATATCCCGCTATTTCAATGATAATATCGAGTAAGCTTGCCCTTTTCAATTTGTCTGAGCATTTCACATAATGCGACATGAGCCCTTAATATTACTGATAACACAAACACCAGCTCAGCTGATATCCATTCGTTTGAATACCATCATCACAATTTCAAATACTTACCATGACATTCAAGCAGATTCCCCGGCCGCGCCGTGAGGGGAAGATGGATCTTTGTAATCTCGTGAGTTGACAGATACTGAATCACACACAGAAAGTTATGGGACACTCAAAAGCTTGAGCGCCTCATCATATGATAATGTATCGGCCTCACAGGATCGTTATCTGAAGTGGAAGAGTTGTTCCTCTGAAATTCCTGGCCATAGAAAAACGCCCAGCTCGAACTAATGGGCCCATCTGTATGGGTCTGATTAATAGAAACATGGGAAAGATAAACCAGTAACGGCAATCCATTTATTAGATTCAATCGCAACGATATCGCTGTCGGAAATTTCAATCGGGCTTGAACGGGATGTTCATTTCTTGCTCAGAAGGTAGTTTAACAAGGCGAAAATGAGGTCAACTAATCACACTGAATACCACATTTGAAGCATCTCTGCGGAGATAGTCGTATAAGTGTAACAGGCATTGACAATTTACGAACGGCATCAAAATGCCACAGATCGGGAGTAATGGTGCAATTCGCTATGTTGAACGTCAGTTTTGTCCCGATGGTTGAGAAGGGATCGGTAACTACGAGGTTCAAATTGACAAGGATGGCAGCAAATAAAAATAAAATAAAAAAAAAAGGGCCGCCACACCGCCTTCTCTAAAAGTGGCAGAATGGAAATAATGAAAATGATGAAAAGCACAACAACAAAAACATTTTTTGCTCTCAAATTTACCCCGCCGAAAACGCATAATCGAACGATTCCCACACCAATTCGAAATGTCTGAAAATGACACATATCAGACCCCGCTGGCTTCGCGATATGCGAGTAAGTGGCATTCAATTTAGGCTAATTACAATTCCTACCCATCTAATCTGCGACATTAGGCAAGGAGATGAAAACAATCTTCTCCGCCCGCACCCGCGCAACAACATGGCGGAAATTGTGGATTTGGCTGGCAGAGGCCGAAAAAGAGTTAGGAATTAGTATATCCGATGAAGCTATTGCCCAGATGGAGGCAAATGTGGTGATGACGGATCATTGCTTCAAGGTTTCCGCGGAGGAGGAAAAACGGCGTCGACATGATGTGATGGCCCACGTTTACGTATGTGCATTTCTCGCAGCGCCTACCCTTTAATTCGGTGGATATACGGTACTTACGCTTTACAATCGACATTAAACAAAATACTACAGAGTATTAATGCGGGATTTCTCTCAGGCTTTTGGTCAAGTCGCCCCGGCCGCTGCAGGAATCATTCATCTCGGAGCTACCTCTTGTTATTGCACAGATAATGGAGACCTGATTAATATTCGTGACGGTCTCAATCTCCTTCTTCCCAAACTTGCGGTGGTTATTCACAAACTGTCTCAATTCGCCCTGGAATATAAGGATATGCCAACCCTTGGTTATACTCATTATCAACCCGCACAGCTCATCACTGTCGGTCGTCGTGCCGCTCAGTGGGTACAAGACCTTCTCATGGACCTCGAAGACATCCAGCGCACAAGGAATGATCTCAAATTCCGTGGCGCTCAAGGAACTACCGGAACTCAAGCTAGTTTCATGGAGATTTTCCAAAACGATCGGGCGAAGATTGACAAATTGAATGAAATTATTTGCGCCAAAGCCGGATTTCCTTCTTGCTACCCGATCTCTACACAAACATACACCCGCAAGGTCGACTTACGTGTTGCGAATGCTCTCTCTGCATTTGGAACCACGGTTCAGAGAATTACGGGCGACATTAGACATCTTGCTTCGCAGAAGGAAATGGAAGAACCGTTTGAGAAGGATCAAATTGGATCTTCTGCCATGGCTTACAAGCGTAACCCTATGCGTTGCGAACGTATTGCAAGTCTGGGACGCCACCTGGCAAACCTCAATAAAAATGCTGGGGATACATATGCGCAGCAGTGGTTCGAGCGTACCCTTGACGATAGTGCTATTCGCCGTATTTATATCCCGGAGATGTTCTTAAGTGCTGACTCCATTCTCATGACATTGGATAATGTGGTATCTGGACTTGTTGTATACCCAGCCAGAATTCACAGCCGGTTGATGGAAGGTATGACATAATAGCGTTTACTCCACAACTTATCTTGAACCCAGCAACCGCTGACAAGAGGACAGAACTGCCCTTCATGGCAACTGAGACTATCCTTATGAAGATGGTATCACTTGGGAGATCGCGACAGGACGCCCATGAGGAAATCCGGGTGCTGTCACACCAGGCAAGCGATGTGGTCAAGAACCAGGGAGGAGCAAACGACCTGATTGAGAGAATCAAGAAATCAGAGTTCTTTGCCCCTGTAGCTGGGGAAGTCGATCAATTATTAGATCCAAAGAACTTCATTGGCAGATGTCCTGAACAGGTTGAGAAATTCTGTGGGCCGAACGGAGAGGTCCAGAAAGCGTTGGAGCCTTATAAGAAAATGTTCGACCCGAGCAAAGTTTCCGAGCTTTCCGTCTGATTACCCCCGATGAGTTTGTCGTTTCTATTTCGAAACACAATTTTGGTCCAAGAAAGTGTATATGTAGGCGTGTTGGAAGTATGCTGCTGTTGTACGGCGTTTTCTTGCTCGTAGCGTGGCATATTGCCTCCCGGTCTACCACTTACATAGACCCAAATATATATATATATATATATTGAATGCCGTTTATCTAAGTCTGTACTCGTGCCATAGTAACTATTGCTACCAATTGTATCCTTACAAAATTATTTTAATCAGCTATCTTGATTCCTAGGTAAATATATCCGTCCCCCACTGCACCAGTCGGAAGAATATCTGCAATTCCTCCAACTAAGCAGGTGTATGGGAGTATGAGCTTCTTGTGAGACAATTAGTCTCTCTATAACCTAATCACTTTCTATACAGATTGAAGTAGCCTTCTTCCTCCCTTCTATGCCATTTCTTATGGTTGTGCACAGCAGGGATTGTTTTTAAACTCAGCCGTTACACGTGGGTTGTCGAATATTGGCAGAGCAAATACCTTCTAAATATGGGGGGGAAAGTTAGTTCCCATGGTATGGAAGTGGGATGGTCAAGCTATGGGATCTCCTGGCATTACCTAACTACTTGATAGATCTATCAATATAATTTCAAAACAGGTAGCACATCTTCGGCGTCAACCCCGAATGTTAGAAGCATACAAAACAACGAATTCAATCGTCCCAATTAGCGTGGAATCAACACGAATTTCACAATTTCACAGGGAAATGGAGCAACCAACCCCTAGGGAATCTATGGAAAGCCAGTTCATTTAATCATACATTCCCGACACTTCTACCTACAAACTTCTCCTCAATACACCTACCTAGAGCACCGCAACCCGATTATGTTCCCTACATCTTTCCCTAGAGAAGGGTAGTGCCGGGATTGGGCATTGTTAGTGATTCCGCCTCTGGCATACAGGGAGAAGGGAAGCAAGTCTTTACCACCGCTGCTCTGATTGAGATCTCGCTCCCAATAAGTTCGTGGCAGCCGATGCTGAACCTTTAAAACGTCGGAAGTTTGGAAGAGATATTCCAGGGATCATGCCACCTCGGCAAAAAGCATTTTAATTTTGTTTGATTCGCTCTTGCACGAGAGACGATGGCACAATCCTATGCGGTTGATAATGGGCGTATGGAGGTTTCATCCCACTCTTAGGATCACGGATGGTCTTTGGGCATTTGCCCGCAGCATTCGGAACAGCGATTTACCTCTTTTGTATTTGTGTCTTTGCTGATTTAGTAACCGATTGGGGACGCTCCGATAGGTAGGAAATATATGTCCCTTATATGATCTTTTCGACAATCTACTACTCCGTAACGGTCCGAAATTTACACACATTTGGATATTTCAATTGGTTCAATTGTATTTGTGCTTGTGTTCAAGAAGGGTCGTAGTCGTCGAAACGAGCTCGAGATAAAACAACTGCTGCACCAATAAGATCCCTGGGCGAAAAGTTACTGCGTAATGATGACTGCCGGCTGGTGATTTCTGAAAGTTATCCAATCCGAAATTATTTCACATGAGATACACTCGATCGCTTCATGCTTCAAAAAAGCCAACCGGTGGTGAACTTCTTTGCAGAATGGTCATTCTGCATGCAGTCCAGAATCCAGGGCCTACCCTCCTATCTCTGACGCCGGGATACCAAGCGCAAGATGTGAACCTTTCACCAGAGGTAAGGAAATCCCCCGTACCCCACTTCACACATGCGATATTGGGGATTTCAGCACAATCAGGAGTTAAGATCAGCTTCATGCATAGAAGGAGCTGACAGATTGTGAGAAATCATAAGCCTCGGTCTGAATTTCTGTATGTCATCGAGCTATACTTCGGAAATGCAGGGGAATAGAGACAGGGAATTTTGAGTTGATATCGAACGAGGGTTTTGGACAACACTCTGAGACGCAATGTCACACTGTGGGAATTATTTTCCCAAAACTTGAGAGATTTAAATGGTAGAATTAATTAACTATGACCTGGGTATAACCTGGTTGTTTTAGTGGATTCCACTACCGCCGAGAAACCCTGGGGTTGGGCGGATAAGATTGTGCGGGATCAAGGATGGAAAAGTTACGGGGTGTGTGTGTGTGTCGTCTGACACTTTCTAATAAGCATCGCGCATTTTGAGCACCGTATCAATGGCATTTACGATAATATCACCGAATGACCCCTACGTGGGCACGTAGGTAGGAGGAAGTTAACTATGGCAGGGGGAGGCGGATTTAAACCTGCGCCGTTTCTGCTTTGCGCGTTCTCACTCAGCGGCTATCGGAGATAATCACAGTTTAGTTACTAATTGACTAACTAACTAACGTTAACTAGTTAGTTAGTTAACTAGTTAGTTAGCTGACTAACTAACTTAGTTAATCCAAGGGATATTTAAGTTCTGGAGCAGTTCATATCCCCAAACAACTCTTTTAACAAAGATCACAGTAGCTATAGCTCATTTGCATCCTCGTTGATATTCTGACTGCAGCTCTCAATGTCATATCAGCATCCTGAGGACACTGTGCTCAGTGTGCTGCTGCGAAAGATAACTTACTGGAGAATTCAGCTTCCCTTCCCGGCTCAAGGATACCTAGGAACGCCACCCTGTTGGAGAGGTCCATCCCTGAAGCGGCCTATGAAGGTTGTGATTGGTAGGAATTGTTCTGAAGCACGGAGCTTAAGCTGAATATATCTTAGGCATGCCCGAAGTGGCACATTCTCACTTTTTGCTTTTGCACAACTTTGTCTAACTATTGCTTCCAATCAGCAGATGACTAACAATTATTCAGGCAGGAAACTAAGTTATGGGAGACTTGCCTCCCCCATTCAAGCTTTCTAGGCTCTGGCGGACCCAAGGGCCGTCGAAGTAACTTTTAGGCTTTCCCGGCCTCAAACAACCTTCCAGGAAGGATCCTTGGCTCCAGCCGGAGGAAGGGTTGTATTGACCGTTGGGATCGGCGTGGAGTGGCACACATGTCGGGATTCGCCTAATGCAATTTGAACGGTAAAAGAAAAGACCCTTTTTTTCATAGAAATTATACTGTTTCCCCGTCGTTTCAGTTCCCCCATCGCGTGGAAATCTTGATTATCATTGATTATCATCTCTTCAGCGCTCGCCCACGATGGTCGTTCTATAGTCTACCTGACTGGATTCAACATCCTATGGTTGAGTTTGAAGTAACTACAAAGAGGGAACTTGTTTTTGTTTGAGTGGCACAACGGACAATCAATTGGAACCCTCTTTGACTATCAAGATTTGCTGTAACCACGCTCAAACATCAGGTTTGTGCTTGTTACTCCGCAACCACTGAAAACCTCAGGACTCAGCCAGCGCCCACAAAACCCGACCCCACGATTAAAATATATAATTTGCAATTTCCACATCGTGGCCGGCGGAACCTGTAATTTTCGCCAGCATTGAGCAACCGCCACAATGGCTTCTCAGACCACAGAAATCTCGATGTCGCGATCCCCAGATCCGGCACTCGACCCCGCTCACCAGCACCGCCATCCGCACCGTCACCATTCCACAGTCTCAGAGAAGAGCTGCGAGGATGATATCGTTTACACCAAGGGCTTTGATGAATCCAATATTCTGGAACCGAGTCCTCTGGATCATGGCTGCCAGAACCCGTCGGACACGCATCCAACTGAGGATATTGAGGCAGGGCAGGTAGAGGTGGATGAGGAGAAGAAGAACATATTCAGCCGCACCTGGATACGATACAGACCTCAAGTGAACATCGCGATCCATGCTGCGCTATGGATCTTGTTTACTGGGTGAGTGCTCTATTCCTATTATTGTGCACATGACCTTCCATTCATATATGGGAGTTCGATATCGCTCTCTGTCGGGCCTTAGTAACAAAGCATCCAATAAAACCTAGCTGGTGGATTGCTGGCCTGATTCTTCGTCGCAAGGAGCTGGGGTGGGTGGTGCCTTTCCTAGTCTACCTGGCAATATCGCTACGGTTGCTCTTTTTCTATGTCCCTATCTCTGTTGTTACCAGGCCGATGCGTTGGGTTTGGCGCCATACTGCAACAACATTCGTTGCCTTTATCCCTGAGAAATTCAGGACTCCACTGGGCGCTCTAGTGGTGATTGCGGTATTTCTCGTGGGATCTTTCGCTTCCGAAGAATCCGCGGATAATAACAAAGAAAACCGTGCCGTCAGCCTCTTTGGACTGGTGGTGCTCATGTTCACACTATGGGCTACATCGAACAACCGCAAGAAGATAGTATGGCGCACTGTCCTTGTTGGCATGTTGGTGCAATTCCTCATGGCTCTTTTTGTCTTGCGAACCAAGGCTGGATATGATATGTTCAGTTTCATCTCGAGCTTAGCGACGGCCCTACTTGGTTTTGCAGGTCAAGGAACAGCGTTTCTTACAGCAGCTTCGGTTACGAAAAACATCCATTGGTTCCTGGTCACTGTTATCCCTTCTATCATTTTCTTCGTCTCCCTGGTACAGCTGTTCTATTACATCGGATTTATTCAGTGGTTCATCGGCAAGTTTGCCACATTTTTCTTCTGGTCCATGCGAGTATCTGGCGCGGAAGCTATTGTGGCAGCCGCGTCTCCCTTCATCGGCCAAGGAGAGTCTGCCATGTTGATTCGCCCATTTATTAATCACCTTACGATGGCTGAAATTCACCAAATTATGTGTTCGGGGTTTGCCACAATTGCCGGAAGCGTCCTCATTGCTTACATCGGTATCGGTGTCAACCCTCAAGCCCTAATGTCGTCCTGTGTGATGAGTATCCCTGCCTCCCTGGCGGTTTCTAAAATGAGATATCCCGAAACCGAGGAAACGTTGACTGCCGGTCGTGTGGTCATCCCTGATGACGACGAACATCGTGCCTCCAACGCCCTACACGCATTTGCGAACGGTGCATGGCTGGGTCTGAAAATTGGAGCTGTGATTATGGCTACCCTTCTCTGTATCATCTCCCTGGTTGGTTTGGTCAATGATCTCCTAACCTGGTGGGGCCATTACCTCAATATCAACGATCCTCCTCTAACCCTCCAGATGATCATGGGCTATTTATGTTACCCGATCTCTTTCTTGCTCGGAGTATCCCGCGGCAATGACGATATCTATAAAGTCGCCAAGCTAATCGGGTTGAAGCTCATTACTGTAAGGACACCACTCCGGAAGCGCGTCCTTCGGCCCCCTTTCCCTTTCTCTTAGAACAAGCTATTATCGTATATGATTATCCTGATCGCTAACCAAACTTACGCACACAGAATGAATTCGTCGCCTACGACCAGCTGCAGAACAATGTATACTACGCTGACCTTACCCCTCGCTCCCGTCTTATCGCCACTTACGCCCTGTGCGGTTTCGCAAACATCGGATCCCTGGGTAACCAAATCGGTGTTCTCTCGCAGCTTGCGCCTGGACGAAGCGGAGACGTGACCCGCGTTGCCATGAGTGCCATGTTAACAGGCGCTCTGAGCACATTTAGCAGCGCGAGTATTGCCGGTCTTCTGGTTACAAACCAAGCGCAGTTCGCTAATCACAGCACTGCTCAATGAAGGCCTTTTGGTATGAGGTTTACTCTTTGCTTGTTGGGCGCAATTATGGCAAAACCTCCGACGAGATCTTTAGTGGTCTAGTTGGCCAATACCCCTCTCGTTTCTGTTCCCTTTTCGTCCTAACTACACTCCGTACAGATTGCTCATCTTCAGACCCAGCCAGCGCTGCTCCAGATATTCATATATCTGTGTCCATGGTGTCTGCATGGTAATGAATGTTTTTGAACATCTGCGTGTGTTATGATCTAAGGGCCATCTTTGCTTGTCACCCATAAAAAGGCAACCTTGGGAAATCACTTTTAATTAAACATTTTTAGTATCCTTCCAAGTATGCCTTACAAGCAACCATCAAGTATTATTACCGTTCACATACCCAACTGCCAGAACAGAGAGCAAAAGAGGGAGGGGACGTATGCCGTAGAGTAAAACACCTGGTTAGAGTTGAGGAAAAGTATGGTAATGCCATTACCTTGTTTCTATAGACTTGAGTTGTTGAACCTTGGCATCTCAACGTGCTTGCTCGATCTCGCGATCCACAGTTTTTGGAGCCACTCTAACTTTAGCGGGGAAAATGTCGGGAAGCCTAAATCAACAAATTCAAGACTCCCTCCAGTTCCACATAAAAATGGATGGAATTCAGCCCGGATTTCACTTTCAAACTCGAAATGGTGGGCGCTCTGCTCGATATCTTTATCGTTGATTATTGTTTTATTTTTATCTTTACTTTTTTTTTTTTTTATAGCGTGGGAGGTGGGGGGGGGAAAGGGGCGGAGGGTGGATAGTGCTGTCCAATAGAATATGCAGATCCAAGATCTCCTAAGGGATCGCCGGGTAACTGTTAGGGGGAAACGGAACAAGGGAAAAAAACACTTGGCTCGTGACCATTGCAAAAGGATGTTATTATAGTCCACGTGACAGAATGGTCCACACCAAGCTCGGGGATTAAGTTCAGCGTATAACTTAACCCAGCAAACAACCTAATGACGCAAAATGAAACTGCATAGGTATTGCATCGTGGGTGGATAACATTGTGTAATCCTGTAGGGGGCATCTCTGTTTCCTATCTGATTCCTCACAGACTGGATCACCTCAAAAAGTTATTGTTGAGATGGGACCTGGAATTGTGATCATGATAATAAGTACATATTACCAATATTTTCACAGGAACTTATCAGAAGTAGTAGTTTATCAATTGAGTGGTGCATGAAGGCAGACTTAAAAAAAACTGTAACTGTAAAAGAAAACTGTGCAATGAGTTCATGCAGTCAGAGAGTATAAATTTGGATTAATTCAAAGAGTTAACTAACTAAACTACATGTGAAATAGTGTGGCTAGACTAGTGAATCATTTCTCTTCAGAATGACTTATGCTGCATCAAGAAGAAAGAGAGAGAGAACGATGATGAAAGAAGACAAGACACTGGCTTTTCATTGTAGAGAAGATTCATTATTTATTATATGCATCCAGGAATACAAATCTTTATCCCTCCATGCACTCACCCCACTCTCATCTGCAGACATGAGTAGTGTGAGTCCAGTAACAGCAAAAACATTTTCACAGATCCTCAAGGCCGAATGGGCCAATCCATGTCGCCAAAAAGAGAAAGAAAAAGGGCGGCATGCAATTGTAATCAATAATTTGGGCAAAAATTGGATCTAACATCCCGAGAAGCAAAACAGAGAGCATCAATTCCTTCGCGGACCGTAGCAATGTACGTAGCATATATATTCAACCGTGAATTACCATGTTTGGAGTCCTGGCTTGAAAACTGAAAGTGGGAACATAACCAGACGGAGTTTTTCCTTGTTTTCAGATTGCGGAGCAGCGATTTTAGTAACTAATTTGTTACCATGGAAGCGTCGTGCCTCATTTATGAATATTTTCTTGACAAATTCCAGGTTGGGTTGGTTGAGTCGAGACAGAGCGAAATCCTGCATTCTGAGGTGGTTTTATGCGTGGTAACTAACTAACGATGGAGCGAATTCAAAGGGGCGCGCTTCTCGTTCGATTTCCATCGCTTGGTCTGTCTTAAATCTACACCCTGCCCCTGAGGGGTATTATTTCCTTTCTCTACCAAAGCTGTAGCATGGTATCTACAACAATGTCTATAGTCGTATCTATCGTCCGACTGTTTTGTTAAGCAACCCCTGCTGCATAAATGTAATGTTGCTCTGTATAGATATCTGTCAAATTGAGGAGTGGAGACATGGTCTAATGGCAACAATCACAGAATCAAGCAGCATCAGCACAAATAATGATATTTCAGACAAGAGACTTTCAGCTAAGACTAATTCAAAATATGGACATGAATTTGTAGGTTTTCTTTTCTTTTCTTTTTCAAAAACTTGAGAAATGGATTTTCTGTTTTCCAATCAAGAGCAATCCATAGAAAATCCAACGATAGGATAGAGGAATAAGAGAGTCACTGGGATCCCAACTCCCTGTTCCGCAAGAAAAAAAGGAAGGAAAGGGTAGCAAAAAAAAAAAAAAAAAGAAAAGAAAAGAAAAGAAAAAGAAAAAAAGAAAAAGAAAAATCCATATGCATAGGTATCATCATCATGTAGCAGAATTGAAAGCGGAACCTCTTCCCCAAGGGCCCAGACAGAAGAACATGAAGGAGACAGCCCGAGACATGACCACAATTATTCACCACTATCCTCCCAAGAAACAAAGTCGAATTCCATCCAAGCCACAACAAGCCAGCTGATAAACCAAAAACAGACCTTGCCAACTCCATGCTTCGAAATGGTGGGGGAGAAAAACCGCAGGAGAAGTTACGCATCATCCTATTTACGAGCACCTGCGGTTCGTCAAAAGCCAACCCCAAAAGAAAACTATGCACGGTGATCATTGTTGGCCCTCATTAACTGTTGATAATAGACAGGGAGGCCCCGATATCTATTCACCGGCTTCAATTTCGCGATGGCGCGCGAGAACATGACGCTTATATTCCTCCGGGTTGTTATCCCACAATTCTGCAGCCTGGCCGTTGAGAGGGCTTGCACTACATGAAGGCAAACAACAATCGTCAGCAAAATATCCATTTTGCGAGAAATTACAAAAGAAAAGTAGGGAGAAGTAATAAAGAGGTAAAAAAACCGACTTATTTGGTTCCCCGAGCAAACTCTGCAAACTCAACAGCACACTCTGCACGTTGTAGACCGCGCTCCACTTATCCTTCAGGATGTCGAGACAGATACGTCCGGAGAAATCGACGTTCGGATGGTAGATGGGGGTTTTGAAGAGGACTGTAGGAGGTGCATAGGGATAGTTGGTAGGAAAAGCAAACGAGAGCTTGAATGTGAGGCCTTCATAGGGTGTTTCGGTTGGGCCACTGATTGTCGCTGTCCAGGAGAGCAAGTTGCCATCCGCGTCCGGGAAAGCAGATATACCCGGCGAAGGAGACATCATCAGCTGCATCAACTCGCTCTGTAGCCTATATAAATCACAAACCAACACTATTAGCTAAGATGAAATGTTATGGTGAGGTAGTGAGGTAGTTGGAGAGGTGGTTTGCTTTGGTCGCTGGTTTAGCGCCAAAAAACAACACATAATTGTATCGCCTCGGGCTAGCCTTGTTCTGACTATACCATCCGGGAGCTTATGAAAAAGAAGAACTTTGGCCCCTTGAAAATATAACTAGAACGCACCGTTTGGAGACATTTTGGGTGTCTGTCCTCCCAGTTCCAATACCCAGTTTCGACGTCTCCAGCGTCGTTGCAGAATCTGGACCGGAGTTTTGGGAGTCTTCCATGTTGTAATCCATAGTTCTGCAGCTTGAAAGCGCTTATTCTAAAAACGAGAACGACAGTGGCAGTAAACGAGGGAAACACAAAGAATGGCTCTTATGTAGCGGTTGGGATTAGGTTTGCTATCGGAATTGACTAGTAGCTCAGCTGGATGGCGGGGGAAGAACCGGGTTTTTGAATTGCTGCTCTGACAGAGCTGACGATCGCCTTATGGTCCAAAAGAAAGGGAACAGGAGGCAAAAAGACGAAGGATTGTTGGCATGACCGATGCACTTGGGAAGAAAGTGTTGTTCGAGTGTACCAAAGTACTTGGTTCTGATTGAAATTGATCCATATGTTTTTGTTTGCCAGGGCAACCAACAGACCCAAGATGCGGTCATTGGTCCACTAAAAAGACCCCACAGTTGACAGCAAGATACGAAGAGGATGCAAATCCGTTGGGCGTTAGCTGCCCAGTCCTCCACACGTGATTAGTGTATAGAGATTAGCCAGCTTCTCCTCCAACCAATGGAGAATCAACCATCCCACAAAATCATTCAAGTTAAAAGGGTCAACCATCATCATCTCGCAACTCTGGCCACCGGCGCGTCTCCCATCACGGTGCAATTGAAACACTGGTTTGCCCATCCTTGACCGACATCCAAGCAGCTGTCCCAGTATTTAGAAGCTGTTGAGACTACGAATTTTCCGATTTTGCTGTGCCCCCCACCACGATAGTTTGGAACAAAAAAAAAAAAAGAAAAAAAAAAAATTAACGGAGCATACTGTGCCGCACCAACATCTGACTTGTCTACCCCATTTTTTCTTGATGGGCGGTCTGATCTTACTGGTGGTCTTTCTAAGAAACCTTCCCTTTTTTTTCTCTCTCTTTTTCTTTTTGTTTTTCTTTTTTTCTTTTTTTTCCTTTCTTTTTTTTTTTTGGAGGGGATACTGGCTAGCCTCTGAAACTCGTTCCCATGAAGCACTCTCAACTCGCCCCGCTCCCCAATGACCTACCTTTCCGGATAGTGTCGAAAACAATTGGACAGGGTGCATACGCATGGTATATTGATATGTCATATTCTCCGCACTGTTTACGACTGGATAATAATAACAACACACAAAGCTGACGTCTTCCGTGCATTTCCCCGCTCGCAGTATCAAAAGGGCCTGTCCGCTACAAAGCGACACGCCTGTATTTGCAGTAAAATTTATCCACAAGGATTACGCAGCTCGACATGGGCGCATCACCAGTAAACAGCTGCAGATGGAAGTGGCATTGCATAAACACATTGGACGGCATAATAACATCATCTATTTTCACGAAACGGGAGAGGATGACTGTTGGCGCTGGATAGCAATGGAGTTAGCGGAGGGGGGCGATCTGTTCGACAAGATCGAGGCGGATGAAGGGGTGGGGGAGGATATTGCGCATGTCTATTTCTCCCAGCTGGTTAATGCGGTTGGATACATGCACTCCAAGGGTGTTGCTCATCGAGATATCAAGCCCGAGAACATTCTTCTCGCTGCGGATGGCAATTTGAAAGTAGCTGATTTTGGATTAGCCACGTTGTATGAGTATCGGGGGGAGACGAAACTGAGCACGACGTTGTGTGGCAGCCCCCCTTACATCGCCCCGGAGGTCATCAAGTGCAGCAGCAGAGGTAAGTCAAAGGGCGGGGGCTACAGAGCTGACCTCGTGGATATCTGGTCCTGTGGAGTGGTGCTCTTTGTTCTCCTTGTTGGGAATACCCCCTGGGATAGCCCAACGGATGAGAGTTATGAGTTTGTTGAGTATGTGCAGACAAACTCGAAACCGTCGGATGTGCTTTGGGAGCGCCTACCAACCGCTGTTTTGTCTCTGCTTCGAGGAATGATGAAGATCGACAGCACCAGCAGGTTCTCCATGGAAGATGTCCGTAGGCACCCTTGGTTTACACGACAGAATCCCTATTTGTCTCCAGATAGCAAGCTGGCAAATCCCCTCAATCTAGCCACGACCATGTTTGAATCACTACATATTGATTTGAATAGAGATCCATTGTCCCTATCCTCGCAGCCTACATCCAACATGGTCACAGATGCCATGGATATAGATGGATCCGAGTCGGATATGAAGCCTAAATATTCTTCCACCCAACCAGAAAACCCAGTCGAGGACACCCTGGATTGGGACGGGCCCCCTCGTCTCACTTCACATTGCACCTTCTCCCAACCAAAACCAATGGATACAGATCATGTTATTCTACTCACCGAACGCCTATCTGAGGATCCATCCATGTCTCAGTTTTCTGCAAACCCCTCCGTCCCTCTCAGTCGAACTCAAAATGCACAGATATTCCAGGATATTGTCCCTGCATCTCGCCTTACTCGCTTCGCCTCAGCATGGCCGCTCAGCCTGCTAGTTCCGCGTGTCTGTGAAGCGCTACAAGTCCTGCACGTGCCGGCATCCCCGACATCGTCTGAGCATGCTGATTCGATACTCATACGGGTACGCACTCAGGATGACAGGAAGTGCCCACTCCATGGCAATATTATTATTGAAGGCATTGCAGATGGACATGCGGAAGTTGAATTTGTTAAAATAAAAGGTGACCCATTGGAATGGAGGCGATTCTTTAAGAAAGTGGCCGTCTTGTGCAAGGATGCCGTATTTAAGCCATATACCTAGCAGCCATGTGCTGAATGCATATAACGTGCTGGGAGCGGGTGTTGGAATGAAAACTTGATGATCTGTGTGATTGAATCAATAACGATAATCATAAAAATGGCACGTATTTTTTGAATTATCTTCATTGATTGATCTTCTGACAATTCTATGCTCATCCGCCTTAGAAGTAGATATTTATCCATAGAATGGCCAGATAGTTATTGATTCGACACGTGATCTTAAACCTGAGCACTCTTTCCAAGTCTAATAATGGTCAAAGCTGAAGTTGATGGAATACATTGAACTTGGACGTGAATTTATCTGCGATGCATCCCTTGCTTGCGTCTGCATTACCTATATCGTTGATTCATGGAGAAGCTACCAGTAGAGCTTGTCTCCCGGATAGTTGAATGTAAGCCCTCCAAATATCCGACCCTTCATCAACCTTGGAAGCTGACCCATCATCACTAGATGTCGAACCGAAGGAGCTACGAACCTCCAGCTTGTCTCGCGCCGCCTCTTTGACATCTGCCGTGACAATCCGATCTGGCGACGGCACTGCTACGAGGCAGCTCGCAACAGATTGTAAATCCACAAATCTTTGTTTGGTGCCGTAAGGTCTGAAACTGCTACTTCCTTCTTCCCTGCAACCGTGCCCCGGCTCACAAGGTAACAGAAGTAGCAGAAACAGCAACAACCAAGGTGGCATCCTGGATGTTATAGTGCGGACACAGGCTCAGGGCAGCGGCACTGTCGATCGGTCAGAATCTTTCCTTGAAAATAGATTGGGGCGCAACAAGTGGATCAGCCAATGGGATTCTTCCTACAGTGGGGAGGAAATCGACTGGTATTCTGAGTACATCGCGCGGAATGTCCCAATCTCAGTTCACTGGCTGCAGGAACCGGATGCTGCTGGGAATCGAAGTGGAGACGCAGGGATCGTTAAACCTGAAGTCAAGGGAATGGGGCTGATGAAAGATCGCGGTTATGGGGGTGCTGATAAGATAATTGGCCCTCTGGATGACGGCACGGTATGCCTGTGGGATCTTAACCGTTCGACCTTAAGTGAACGAAACTCAAGAGGAAGGATCATCGGGACCAGTGCACCTGAGAGGATCCTTACTACAGATATGATGCGAAGCAGGGCTACGTTCTCACCCACAAACGCGCCTATAATCGATTTTATCGGAGTCGGGGAGTGTGTCAGCGTCGATTCATTCCGGCAAATTGCTTTTATCGCCGTTGGGCACATCTTAAACGAGGTTGATATGTCCACCCTGCAAGTGATCTCGCAGAAGAAATTCTCTTGGTCGATATTTGCCCTTTCTCAGGAAACTGAAGAGTATTCGGCGCCGCTAACAGTTGGCACGACGCGGAGCCTTCACCTCTACGACCCTAGGATCCGCTCCCTAGACTCTAGGATATGCAGTCCCGTAGCTCCAAACAATGACAGATACGTATCTTTGCTCCAACCCAATTCCTCTCTCTATTCTACACTCTCCTCTACCAAATATAAACTCATTCGCCATTGCCGGACGTTTTTCTGCGATTCTACTGTACGACAGGCGCAACTTGTCAGGTGTACTAAGTATTGCACATTCGGGGTCAAGTATAAGTAGCTTAGCTGCCCTCCCGATGTGTCCTCAACCATACGCATCCAGCCGGCCCCAGCTACGAGGTAACCACATTATAGTTGCATGTGGCGAATACAAGGGACGCGGCTCTCTTGAGTTGTTTTCGACTAGCATTCCCACCAACTCCGGAGACTACGGGAGCCAGAGGTGTTCGATGCTTGTAAAGGAGGCGATCTGTCAGAATCGACAGAGTGCCTCGGGCTCAAAGCTCTTGTCCGTGGCGACCCATGAAACCCGAATTGTCTTCGCTGATGCCAACGGGAATATCAAATGGGTGGAACGAGACGGTTGAACCGAAGTACGACGATGGAACTTGAGCATGGATACCATCTCTCGCAAACGTCGATGAGCTCCGCTGGCTCCGCATAGATTGAACACTTTCGATTTAGATTACTGGCCTGGCGAACATGAGATTGGTGGTTCAGATATCGTTCGCAAAATCCTGCCGTACGACGAAGCTGTTTGCCGATCGCTACAGATTCAGCGAGAGGAGCTGATATGGATGGGAGCCTTTGGGACTGGAAGCTGATATATGTATGTATAATACTTAATTAATTTTTGGCTATCTTGTTTCACCCTTTCGGTTGAGATTTCATGGTGAATACATACGACACGGATAAGACCTTGTTAATACGGAGTTTGACGTTGTTTTTGAAAGACGGCTTTTCCTACACGTTCCTTTTGTATACGATGCGACGTGTGTTTATATTTATCTGATATCGTTAGCTACTATTTCTAAATTCACCAACAATAGGCAAACATCTTCTTCATTGCCTAATTAATAGGCCGTTGTGGACTCATGGACAGCTGTGGAGCGTTTGTCTAAACATGCCCTCCATATTTGCAAGTTGGCGTATAACTATATATACTTTTTCCCTTTTTTTTAATAGTTAGCTGGTCTGGGGAAATATGTATACATCCCCATTTTTTGGGAAATCCGAGTGGATCCACTCTGTTATATTCAAATTTCTCTGCATCGTTGTGATGTAGTTTTCATATGGAACCTTTTTTTTTGTGGTTTGCTCCGAGTTGGCATTGGTAGGTCCGAGGTTCACTGCGGCACGTGGCGGGAATTGGATAATTCCGCCTGCAGTTAAAGATTTCCCCGGATAAGCCGCTCAACGACCTATTTATTTATTTATTTATTTATTTATTTATTTATTTATTTATTTTACTTTGTTCAGCTATATTGTGCATATGTTTTTGGATCAAGCCCTACAATTTGCTCAAGATTCTGTATAAGTAGTTGGTTAATAGAGAGCTGGATACAACGAGATACCTAGAGAGTCACGTGCTGGTGAGGTCCGCAGGAGAAACGTCAACAAAACAAACAACCTTCTTGTCTGCTGCTGGCTATAAACTAGAGAATAAACGGGAAATTACTTATAGAAGTAGTATACTGCAGGATACATTCATTCAAAATAAAAATCCAGGTCATTCAAAGCACACAGTGAGCAGTCGAATGTGGTTTATAATGAATCCTCTGGCCGAACTTCGCAACATCTGAGGAAAAACATGTCCAATTCATCTGCGAATACTCCGTATCACCGAACTCATTTATTTCACCTTTCGTCTTAATTCCCAAGCCCGCCCATAACAAAACATCTTTACTTTCCTTATTTTTATTAGCCCAATTTTTGCATCTCGCGCCACATATTTCCAATCCCATCTTCCGGGCAGACTAAACTTTTCTGCTATCGAACGTCCCCGCAACGTTTCGGACCGAGCAGAATCTACAACCTCCACAACGACCCAACACCTAAAAAGCAGACCTTTTCTCAGCTCCTCCTTTAGCTCTCTTTGACTGTCGTGGACTCGAAGCGACGATTCCGCCGGAAATTGGGTACTCAAGTTTCCAGGCGCTTTTCAGCCTATTTTATTTTCTATTTAGTTTTTCCAACATATTTTTTGCGCCTCTCGATCTTCCCCGATATCCCGCATTTGTTGCAGCATATCTACACAGAGGAGAGTCTGGTAGGTGGCGGGGCCACACGATTCCGCTTCGATGGTTTCGAAAGCAGATGAGAGTCTGCGCTTCAATACAATTGAGGAGTCGATAGAGGCGTTCAGTAAGAAGACATCTTTCTCTGTTTCCCCCCTTTCCGTCGAAGCACCGTGAGCCACGAAAGTTCACTTGTCCTCAGCGGAGTTTGACCCCGAAAGGACTCGTTCAAGGATTGACGCAAACTACTATAATGAATTTGAGATAAACTAACATGCGCGTTTTCCGGTGACTATAGGAAATGGCGAATTCATCGTAGTCCTCGATTCGAAAAACCGGGAGAATGAGGGCGACCTAGTCATAGCTGCGGACTCGGTGACTGCGGCGAAGATGGCATTTATGATACGATATAGCAGGTATGTGCTGCGCAACACATACTGCTTCCGTGTATCATGATGTCCTATTTTATACCTTTCATTCTACCCCTGAATTCCCCTTTTGTTCTTGTTATACCAGAAGATAAAAATAATTAACCCAGACCAACATCAAACAGTGGCTACATTTGCGCACCAATCCCCGCCTCCCATTGCACGAACCTGAACCTCCCTCAAATGGTCTCCGAAAACGCCGATCCAAACGGCACAGCCTACACAATCTCTATCGACGCCACTGACCCCACCGTGACCACTGGGATCTCTGCCTACGACCGCGCCCTGACCTGCCGCACCCTCGCACGCCCCGACGTCCAACCCACCCACTTCCGTCGGCCTGGACACATCTTACCCCTCCGAGCCAGACCTGGTGGCGTCCTTGAGCGACCAGGCCATACAGAGGCGGCCATTGACTTCTGCCGGTTGGCGGGGAAGCCGGAGGCGGCGGTTATTTGTGAGTTGGTTGAGGATGGAGTGGAGGTGGAAGGGGTGCCGGCTCTGGAGGGGAATGGGATGATGAGGGGGCGGAGATGTTTGGAGTTTGGGAAGAGGTGGGGTTTGAAGGTGTGTACGATTGAGGATTTGAAGGAGTATTTGCGCAGGGAAAAAGGGAAGGGGACGGGGACGGGGAAGGCCATGGTGAATGGAAAGCATTAGTAGGCGGGAGGTGGTTCTTTAGGGTTTGAGGGAGGAGTGCTGTTGTTGGGACACTGAGACGATTCCATTTTCCTTCAGGTATATATATATTTTTTGCTGTTATGTCCTTTTCTTACCTGTTGCTGGGTTCATTTTGTGCCGCGATTGGTGCTCATGACATGGCTGGTGAGTACTTACTGAGTGGACCAGCTGTATTTTTTTTTTTTGATTTTATTTTTTTTTTAAAAAAAATTTAGACATAAGGGAGAAGTTTTGAACATGTAAATAACATCGAACTTCTACAAATTACACTCATATCAAATACAACCTCTTAGCTTCAGAACCGATTATCACTTGACTGATCTAGTTTTTAACCACAAGAGAAAAAAATATTAATGCATCATTTTTATCTCAGTAAACTCTGTTGCTCTGTCTAAGTTAAGAATAAGATGAAACAAGTATCAAGACGACCAATAATAGAAGATGATGAAAGCAGAAGCACAAACTGAAGAGGCATAATAGCCAGGAGAACATGTGAAATCCACAATAAAACTCAACCCTAGGGTGAAAGCCAAGCACTAGACATGGTCACATTAACTCCGTGGAAACGCAAACAGTATCAGGTTTATCAAAACATTTCGCACCCGTTCCTTCTCCCATTTTAATATGCATTTGTCTCCCTCCAGGATACCAGGGAGGAAATGGATTCTAGAAGGCCCAAAGCCTCCGTTAGTGCAATGCATCCCGTCATCTCTTAAGATGGGAATAGTCCCTCAAGATTCCAGTCATATGCGTATTAGTTGTCTTGCCACTCCTGCGTGCCTTCTTCACCTTTTTATTCTCAACCTTTGGTCTTGGTTTCATTACCTTATTCTTGCTGGTGGGTGTAATGCCAGCCTTTTCCAGTTCCTCAGTGACTGTCTGCTGGTCGGGGATCTTGATTTTCTCCCAGATCGCGCGGAACTCGGGGTCGAAGTGTTGGATGAGGGAGGGGTCATTTGCCCACACCATCTTCGGATGGTCATCCTTTTTATTCCGAGTAACGAGCAGTTTGCCTTCTTTTTCCAACTTGTCGATTGTCTGAACAATTGTGGGCCACCCTTCCCGCAGCTCGCGCACACTCATGCCCTGCGCTGTTGGCTGGGATTGGAGTTTCCGAAGCAGCTGCTCCGCAGTACGGATGTCATGTGGGGGTTTAAAGCGAAATGTACCCTCACCGTTGGCACCTGAGGGATCATATTGCACTTTCTCATGAGACTGGAGAATACGTTTCAGCGCCTGAATGTAACCAGGGTCATGACCCTGCTGGTGTAAAGACAGATAAGATAGAATGTCAGAGAACTTGAGGGAGTAGTCTTTGCTTTTCATGTGGTCGATTGCGAACACAACTTGGGTCATGATATCCTTTCCCGTGCCTGTGTTCACCGGTTGCGAATAGACAGTATCCGCATCATGGCGGCGGCCATTCGCCGCAGACGCGGCAGAGGAGTTGGCTTGCGTGCTAGCAGCTGCCGCTATGGAAGATGATCTTGCAGCGGCAAGGGTACTTCCAGCTGTTCGTCGGTCTTGTGGAAGACGGGTTGCAGCTGATTTGGCGCTGCTGTTGAACGAGCTGATCTGATTCTGGAAGTACGACATCGTGAGCGGGATGGGCCTGCGGGAGAGTGATGGACATGGAGAGGCTGTAAGCCGCTGCTGGGTGCACGCTACGAGTCAGGCGAAGGCTTCCGCATGGTCTGGAAGTTGGCAATCTCAGCTAGAATGCAGACGAATAAAAGTAGGCGTAAATGACAGGCCTGAATGTTCTGTCAAATCGGTACAGCGGCGCTAAATAAATTGGTGATTGGAGGATGGTTAATTTCTTGTTATTGCAGGGAGAAGCTACCAATTCTAATACTCCTGATCACGTGCTGCGCGGCCCGGGACAACTGCTAATCCGTGTATCCCCATCGTGAGCGGTTAATTAGCCGCGTACCCCGTGACCATCTTCTCGTCCTTGATGCCCAAAACGGTTGTTTAGGCGCGTTGAAATAGTAAACTAACAAAACTACAACAAGCGCTAAAAGATCGTGGAGGCTTTCTTCAGCCTACGAAAGGTCACTGCACTCATCACTGCTGCGTCACTTTCCTTCGAGTTGCGGATACTCTCACCACGATGAGATAAGGATTCTTGCTCAGGCGCTGTGTCTTACAGCTTTACTCGCCCAAGGCAGTAGCCGCCGCCTCCGTGATTTGTGAGCTCTGCACCCTTGAGCTCTCAAAAGGAAAAAAAAAACCAACTTCCCACCTTCAGATCCCCGCCCCCGTATCCAGTTACGATTAGCTTTTGACCATAAGGATACACACTCTGGTTTGCAGCTATGGCTACGGCGGTGGTCGATATACCGTTCCTCTCCTCCCATTACTCTATTCTGGAAACCACCCTTACATCTTTGTCACAGAATCCGACTGTTGAACTAGTCAACCAGCTTCTAGACAGCATTTCTACCAAGGCCCGTGAGACAGAGGAACTCAGGTCTGATAAGCTACGACTGGAAGTTGAGTTTGAAAATGCTGTTCGCAGCGGCGAATCAAAAGTCAAGGTTCTAAAAAATTCGGTTGAGAAAGGCCTGGCGGAAATCACCAGTCTTCGCAGCAAGCTTCAAGAATCAGGTAATACTTAACGGGTTGCATGCTCCCCTTTTAACGTACTGACATAAAGAATATAGAACTAGCGCGATCGAATCTAGAATCTGAAGTCACAGCGCTCAAATCATCCTCCAGTACAAGTGAATCAGAATTTAGCAGCCTAAAATCCCGAATCGCCTCCCTAGAGACTTCTAATCGCGACACTCTGGCATTGCTTGAGTCCAAATCTAATGCATATGATAAGCTTGCGGAAGAACTGTCGGCTCAACATAAGAAAACAATCGAATTACGACGCGATGCCGCGAACCTAGAACAGAGACTGCAGGCTTCTCATGCAGCCGCTTCTAGTACTCGCTTCCGGGAACAAAGCCTCAAGCAAGAGGTGGAGCTATTGAAGAAGAATAATGAATGGTTTGAAAATGAATTGAAGACCAAATCGGGGGAGTATCAGAAGTTCAGGAAAGAAAAGAGCGCTCGTATTTCCGAGCTACAACGAATTAACGAGGATGCAAACTCTAACATTGATGCGCTGAGACGGAGCGAAAACTCCCTTAAATCTCGGCTAGATGAGGTTGAGCAGAAGTACGAGGAAGCGTTATCCACCACCCAACAACTGAAAGAGGAAGCCATTCAGGCCTCTGAATCTTTCCGAATTGAGCTCGATAGCTCCAGCCGGCTAGCACAACTACAACAAGCAGCTGCTGAAACCGCCAAGAAACGTGTGCAAGAGTGTCAGTTGGCTCTCGAAAAGACACGAGATGACGCCGCAGAAGAGATCTCGAGACTGCGAGCCGAGATTGAAACTGAACACTCCGACAAGGAAGCAGCGGAACGCCGTGTTGCGGAACTGGAACTTAACGTCAGAGAGCTGGAGTCGGAGATTTCCACAGCCCGAAACCAACCGATGAGCCCTGGTCAAGGAATCAACGGAGCCGGTATTTCCACGCCACTGAGACCAGGCACCCCTGTCGGCACTTTCTCACCAAGGGCATCGCGGACTAAAAGCGGTTTAACCCTGACACAAATGTACAGCGAATACGATAAGATGCGCACCTTACTCGCTGCCGAGCAACGAAATAACCAGGAGCTAAAGGCTACAATGGATGAAATGGTGCAGGACCTCGAATCTAGCAAACCAGAAATCGATGAACTTCGGGCGGATCATGCACGATTGGAGGCTGCTGTTGTGGAAATGTCGAATATTTTGGACACGGCTGGGAAAGAAAGAGATGATGCTACTAGAGAAGCGCGGAAGTGGCAAGGCCAGGTTGAAGGATTTGAGCGCGAAGGACAAATATTGCGACAGCAGTTGAGGGATCTAAGCTGCCAAGTTAAGGTATTAGTTATGGAAGTGCACTTGCTTGGGTCCGACGAAAAGGACTATGACAGAGCCGAGCTTGAAAAGATAGCTCAGGGGGGAATCGATGAAGTAGCGGAGGACTTGAACGAAACCGGCCGTTTCATTACGCGCCATCTAACGACATTCAAAAATTTGAACGAACTTCAACAGCAAAATGTTACGCTTCGCAGAATGCTACGGGATGTAGGTGATAAGATGGAGGGCGAAGAAGCTCGCCGGAAATCTGAGGCTTACCAGAGGGATCAGGAAGAACTCAAGGAGTTGCGTGTTAGGGTACAGACGTATCGGGACGAAATGACAAACCTTATCTCCCAGACAAAGAGCTATATCAAGGAAAGAGACACATTCCGTAGTATGCTTACACGCCGCCGTGAAACTGGAGAATCGACAACTCCCTTTTCACAGTCTCTTCCTTTGGGTGCAACTGCTCCCGTTGCTCCAGTGGACAACGTTCCCCAACCACAAGAAGGTCCAGACTATGCTGAGCTACTACGAAAGCTGCAGGCCCACTTTGATTCATTCCGTCAAGAAACGGCGACAGACCATTCCTCCCTCAAGCAACAAGTTAATGACCTTACGAGGAAGAATAGTGAGCTACAAAGTGAGATCAGTCGCTCAAGCAGCCAATTGGCTGCCTCAATTCAACGCGCCGAGCTTCTTCAATCGAACTTCAATCTACTAAAGGGAGAGAATGTTGAGCTCCAGAAACGTCATGCTACTCTCATGGAAAATGCGAACAAACAAGATTTGAGAACCCAACAAGTGGCTGAAGATTTAGTGGAGGCGAGAGGACTTGTTGATAGCCTCCGAAGGGAAACGACAAACCTGAAGGCTGAGAAGGACTTGTGGAAGAACATTGAGAAACGGTTGGTGGAAGACAATGAGTCTCTCAGAAATGAACGGGCACGCCTCGATTCACTAAATGCAAGCCTGCAGTCCATGTTGAATGAGCGTGAACACTCGGAAGCTGAGAGTCGCCGGCGTCTTCAATCGACTGTTGAGAATCTTGAATCTGAGTTACAAACTACAAAACGGCAGCTCCATGTTGAAAGCGAGGAAGCTAAGAAATCAGCGCTACGTAGAGAATACGAAAATAGCCAAAACCAAAAAAGGATCGATGATTTGGTTACTAGCCTTAGCTCCGCTCGTGAGGAACTTATCGCTACAAAGTCCACTCGCGATCATTTGCAGTCAAGAGTTGATGAGCTATCTGTCGAACTTAAGAGTGCGGAAGAAAAGTTGGAAGTTTTGCAACGGAAGCCTAGTACCGCTGTCGCCACCTCTCCCACTGCTCCTACTGATAACGAACAAGAAGCAACTGATGAAAGTGGATTAACCAGAGAACAAGAGTTGGGTGTTGAAGTTTCTGAATTGAAACGTGACCTTGAATTTGCTAAATCGGAACTTGAGCATGCAAAGGAGCAAGTGGAGGATTACAAGGCCATCAGCCAATCAACGGAAGAACGTCTTCAGTCCCTCACCGATACAAATGACCAATACCAGGAAGACACCAATCGCTTGCTTGAAGAGAAGGATAGCAAGATATCTGAACTGGAAAGACGTATCGAAGAAATTACATCCGAACTGAGTGCGACGAACAGTGAGCTATCGAAACTGCGTGAACAGGAAGTCGAGTCCCAACGTCGGTTTGACGATCAAAAGGCGATGCTGGAGTCCGAAATTTCAAGACTCAAGGAGCAAGATGAACGATATGCTGCTGCTGCTCAGTACCATCAGCAGGACCTCAAAGCTCAGGCTGAAATTGCCCAACATGCTCAACAAAGCTACGAAAATGAGCTTTTAAAGCATGCCGAAGCTGCCAAGAATCTCCAGATCGTCAGGGCGGAAGCCAACGAGCTTAAACTTGAAGCCGTTGACCTGCGAACTCAAGCCGAAACCGCCAAAAATAGTCTTACACAGCAGGAAGAGAATTGGAATGAAATGAAGGCCAGATTTGAAAGAGAGATAATGGAGCTTAATCGCCGTCGTGAGGAAATTGTCAATCAAAATACCTTGCTTCACCAGCAGCTTGAAAACATCACCCGGCAGATTTCAAGTCTGCAGCGCGATAAAGAGAGTATGCCCGAAGAGGTTGATGAGTCAGGATCGTCTGCGTCCAGCTTGGAAGGCTTACAGGAGGTTATCAAATTCCTGCGAAGAGAAAAAGAAATTGTTGATGTCCAATACCACCTCTCGACTCAAGAAGCAAAACGCCTTCGCCAGCAGCTCGATTACACTCAATCTCAGCTTGATGACACCCGTCTTAAACTTGAACAACAACGTCGCGCTGAAGCTGACAGTGAACATAATATTCTAAACCACAAGAAGCTGGTGGACACTCTCAATGAGCTCAACCTCTTCCGGGAGAGCAGCGTTACCCTGAGAAATCAGGCAAAACAAGCGGAAATGGCTCTGGCAGAGAAATCGGCTCGCGTGGAGGAACTAATGCAGCAAATCAGCCCTCTTGAAACCCGTATTCGCGAATTGGAAAATGTTGCGGAGACCAAGGATGGAGAACTTAAGCTTCTTCAGGAAGACAGGGACAGATGGCAGCAACGGACACAAAACATTCTCCAAAAGTACGATCGTGTCGACCCTGTGGAAATGGAAGCGCTGAAGGAAATGCTCTCCACGCTGGAAAAGGAACGAGGCGACGCTGTTTCTGCCAGAGATGAACTTCAGGCCCAGGTGACAACTTTGTCAAACCAAGTTAAACAAGCAGAGGAGAGGATTCAAACGATGCGCTCGACCCTCACCGACCAATTTAAGGCACGATCGAAAGAACTCTCGTCTCGTATTCAAGCCAAACAAGCGGAGTTGAACACGGTAATCCAGGAAAAGGAAGTAATTCAACTCGAATTGGACCGCACGAGGGAGGAATTGAATATTCTAAAGGCAAAGGTATCGGAAACTGAATCCCTCGCATCCGCTCCAGCTCCCTCTCCGACCCCTGCCACGCAGAATGGCATAGATGTTCCACAAGCACCCGAACAACCTACAATGGCCCAAGGGATTGATGCTCCCAGCGCCGAGAAAATCAAAGCCCTTGAAGAAAAGATTCAAAGACTGGAAGCTGCACTTGCTGAAAAGGAAGCAACCATTGATCAGAAGGTTAAAGAGCGTGTTGATAAAATGAAGGAGACGCTGAATAACAAACTTGCCGAATACAAGACGCATCACAAAGAGGAGGTTGAAAAGCTCAAGGCAAGCCACCAGCAAGAATTGGAATCTGCGTCAGCTCTAAAGCCAGATGGCATTCCTGAGCTCAGCGATGCCCAGGCAAGGGAGCTTGTGGCTAAAAACGAGACGATCAGGGCAATCGTGCGAAACAACATCAAAAATGCTGTGGCCAAAGAGAGAGCATCCACAACGAGCAAAGAGGTCCATATTGCTGCTGCTCCTGATGCCGACGCTATGAAAGAGTTGGAGCAGAAGTTTAACGAAGAAAAGGAGGCAATTATTAAGGAACGGGACCAAAAGATCGGCTCTGCTGTTGAGCTTGCGGAAAAGAGGGTGCTTGCTAAGCTCAGTATGACTGAGGGACGCGCGAGGAATGCTCAAGCCAAACTCGAGGTTGTCCAAAAGGCAGCTGTAGAAACACCGCAAAAGCCTGTTGTTGAAGTTTGGGAAATTGCTAAAATCGCGCGACCTGCTCCGGTAGTGCCAACGCAAGCATCATTGCAATTACCAGTCCAGGCCCCGACTCAACTTCAACCTCAAGCTCAAACACCCGCACCAAAACCAGCCCAAGTTCAAACTCCGGCCAGTGCTCCAGCCCAAGGATCTCAAACGCCGGTTACCCAACAATCTTCTTCTGGAGAGCCACAGCCACAGCCAGAACCGTCTCCATCTTCTGCACCTGCTAAACACTCACCTCCAATCGGCCAGAAACCTGAGCAAGCAACTCCAGGACCACTATCTCAAGCCGCCCAACAACAACAGCAGCAGCAGCAACAGCCACAGGGGGCCACTTCTAACCAGAATTCTCCCGCCCAGCCACCCAATCAAGCCAGTGCATCCCTCCCTAACAGACCTCCGCAGAGTACTCATCACCCAGCTATTGGAACTGGCCCGGGTGTACTTCGTGCCCTTCAATCCGGGCTCCCAGTAGCTCGCGGTGGTAGAGGACGAAGCGGACCAACCGGCCAGCAACACAATCCGTTTGGTCCTCAACCTACCGAGCAACAAGGACAAGCTCAACAATCCCAGCAACAACAACAACAACAGCAGCAGCAGCAGCAGCAGCATGGTATGGGCCGAGGCGGTGCTCTGTCTCGTGGAGCTGGTCGAGGTAGAGGTGCCCCGGGGCGTGGTAATGCTCAAAATGTCCAAACAGGGAATCTGCCTCAAGGTCAAGGTCAGCAGAGCCCTAGAGGTGGACGGGGTGCGTTGAATGCCCATGCTCGTCAGTTTATTCCTCATGGGAACAAGCGAACAAGAGATGATGGTAGCGAGGGTGGTGAAGTTAGTAATGGAAAAAGAATTCGTGGAGGCGGAGCGGGGTCTTAGGCATGTGTATGTACCTGCAGTGAATGGAGGAGATATCATATTTTTTTTTCTTCCTTTTTTTTTCTTTTTTATTATTTTTTTTTGGCCATGCTAGAAGCAATTGTTTGTCACTTTCTCGGTATTTTTATTTTTCTTGTTTTCGAGGGTGTTACTTTATAACAGGGACATCATTCTTTTCGATTTTCCCTCCTTATCCTTATTTTTCTATGTTTGAACATTTGCTCATGTTGTCCCATTTTGGTTGCCGTTTCCACATTTCTCCTTTGTAAAAGAAGACGAAGCAGTGGGCGAATTACCTATCCATATCTACTCCGTATGTACAGTATAACACCTTGATCGGAACAAAAAGCATCTACGTAGGTTCTCACGGGGCCGTTAGTTTTCTCTTTACATCAATTCCGCGTCAATACTTGTATAGAACAGTGTCAGCGAAGGACATAGACTGCAGCATTGCGATTGTATTCACTGATATTCCAAGGGGTATCTATCCAGCACGCTGAAAGCACATGACAACTCTGGAGGCAATCTATCCAGGGTTCAAAGTAAAAGGAAGGGAAATCAATGTATTAGGCATTTTTTCATTTCCTCCTCCCCACCTCTCCAGCACTCCGAGCCCCGATTAACTTCGTCAAGCCCTCTCTCTCCTTTTCCAGCACTCCCAACCGCCCTCGCTCCACAATCGCAGCTCCAGACCCAAGGCCAACTCCTGGCTCATCACTTGGTTGCTGGTGTTGCCCATTCACCCTTTTCCGCCTCTGTAACCTGCTTGCCGCACCCACACCACCACCCCATATCACAGTCCAGTCGTCAACGACGCTGCTATCAGGAATGCTACAGCTAGAACACACTTTCGCGTGCTGGCCAACCTGAACGCCCCGACCTAAGAAGGAGGAGGTATCTACCGTCGCGGCCGAGGAGATATGGGTTCCCGCGCTTATTGTAGCGAGAGGCCCAATAATTATGGACTTCTCGAGTGTTGTAGTAATTGTCGTTGATGAGCAAGTGGGCAAGGTAGTTGTGGCTTCTGTACTTGTCGTAGCGGATTCTGCATCAGTCATTGAAGTTGAGGAGATCGGAGATGCTTGCGGCCCGCCAATGACGGACTTTTCGCCGATTATGCAGCCGTCTCCGATATGGATGGGGCCTTCGAAAGAGAGGAATTTGCTGCGCGGGTGTATTACGGTGCCTGCACCAATGGAAATAGGGTGTATGCCTTGGAAGCTGGCGCTGTCCGGGACTGTTGCGGTGGGGTGGGCGGTTAGAGGTGGTTTGTACATTGGAGTGGTAGGCTTTTGCGAATAGGAGGAGGGGCGGGATGAGGACGGTTTGAGGTGGTCTGGGTTTGTGGCCATTGTTGTTTTTGTTGTTGTTCATTTGTATTATTTTGGTTATGGGATAACTACTATTGCTGGTTTGACCAGAGGAGCAGTAATTGGAAGATGTTGAACACATCGGGTTGAAAGACAGGAGAAACTTAAGGAGTGCCCACCGCCCGAATCTGCGTGGTGTTGTACCGCGTGTACATATCTACATCGCAATTCCAACTCCGCAATGCAAAATCGAAGGGTCTAACTTTATTAAATATCAAGAAATTCAAAACGTAAAAGAGAATATTTCTGCTTTGATGCATTAATTCTATTATTGTCCTAACATAAGACGCTGTACCTAAAACATCTACTCTGTAATTGGTATCAAAACCCCGCAACATTACCCAAACGCCGTGTCGTATATTTAAGACGTCGCCCTTTACATATATTCAAGACTCCTTAATCTATCACTGGTCTCCCAGCTGCCGCTTCTTTATCAGCAGCTATGACGCCCATCCTCTTTCTCCAATCCCAGACACCACGATCAACTTCCTCCCGAGTCATACCATCCCTCACAAGACAAAACGTAACCCCCAATTCCGTTTGCACATTTCTATTCCTCGCCTCGTCATCAAAAAACAACATATCCTCATACCGTATGCCACTTTCCTGTTGTATGCGCGTAAAATGCTGCGTCTTATCCGCAGGGAAAATCTGCACATGCTGAAAACAGTCCAAAGCCCGGACTGGACGATTATTGGCCGCCGCTGGATTATCCGAGAAGGACGGAATAATATATAATGCTTTAAGCATATCACGCGCAAGATCTGGAGCATGTGTCCTTGACGCAAGCCCTAGGGGTATGGATCGTGAACGGCATGCAAGGAGGATGGAGGATACGGCGGGATAAAAGGCGAAGGATTCACCCCACCTACATCAGACCAGAAAGGTGAAAAATGTCAGTCGGGCGCAAGAGTCTGAACATTATTGCCTACGGCGGGTAAGTCGCGTCCAGATAGGGTAGGCAAGCAGAACAGAGGAGCACGGAGGAAGAAGATATCCAAGGATAAGAGATGCCGCATACCTATCCACACATCGCGAATTATTGTCCTTGGCCTTGACTGGAGGACTGACATGGGTGTCAACCCAAAATGGCCACAGAGTATAGTCTAAGTCAAAAACAAGCAGTTTTGGCAAAGGAAGACCATCATTAAAGGTCGCGGGCGCAACGGTAGGGTCCTCAAGGGCGGGTTGCACTTTTGTTCCAGAATTGCCTTTAGTCTTCGCCATTTGCGGAACTTTTGAAGTTATTTATCAACCAGCAATGGCATATGTAACCGCACAGGGAGAATCCCCAATATTTCAAACCCGGAATGAGAATAACGGGCTGAGGTAACGAATCAAATAAATGATAATATGCATCAACGATGGGCGGCTGTTAATTTGAATCCCTGAAAAGTAGTTAACTAATATTGCATGTATTGGCTTATGTAACCTGCCCCTTTCCAAACCACCCAAAAAGGTTTATCTTGACGTCTATTCAACTTCACCAGGGGAAATTGAAACCAGATCCAGGATGTAGTTATTCAAGGGCAGCTTTAAATGGGTTATTGGCATACCAGATAAGGGTGTATTTTCTATTGCTACTGCCCGTTGAATCTGCTTCTCTGGAGCATGTTTACTCGTTCCCCATTGAACCACGTCAATGGACGCACAACTAACCAAGTCGCCGTATGTCTATTCGCTCTCTCAGTGATGGTCGTATGTTAGACATCCCATTGAGCTTAGGATCTTCCATATATGTTCAAACTCTGTGCCTCCTCTAATCCTCAGTTCTTGCTTTATAGCTTGCCAGCTCGATGCATACCGAAGAACCTGCATCTGTTGGTCTGCTGTCAAAATATCAGAAGCTCCCATGGCTTCTGCAATGATTTTGCGCCACAGATCCATTGGTAAACCAAACCGACCAACATCGCCTCTCTTTACAGTCTTTGAAATCCTCTTTCTAGTGCCGGTCATTGATTCGCTGTGGGCACCTGAACGCCTGCGGCCCGACACAATCTGTGCACCTCGCTGAGATAACCACGAACCCCATGAAGTCAAACTCTCCTGGTTGTTCCACTCCAGCGTTTCCTGGATAGTAGGGAAATCTTTCAGAAACCCTTCACTGCTTGGTGCAAACAAATATTCATTTTTCTGATTCTCTTCAATGAGATTCTTCTCATAGGGTTTCAGTCTTGTACTGCCATCGAGCAAGATTGCACGGGCGACTCTCATCATTTTGAATGCTACGACCCAAATATCAGAAATGTATACACTTTCGGTCTTGAGAACATCCAAAAGCAGGTGATTCTTCACTCGCTCCATCTCGATATTATGCTTTCTTCGTAACTCTCTCTGTTTTGTGATTTCAGACTCTTCTAACTTGTTGTCGTCGTCGTCGAAGACCTGGGATGCTGTCACTTCTACATCGGCTTCGGAATTTTGCTGGCGGAATTCAATGCCAAGGTTAAGCAGTCTTAGCCCCAGTGCACTTAGTTCTTTGGACGGTGTGTACACAATGCCGTTCTCAGTGTTAAGCCTCCTCCAGGGATGCCACTGGTTTCCCAGGTGGGAGAAACTGTAACAGCTTATCTGGTTGGCGGTGAGCAAGAACAAGAGTCCAGAGGTGAAACGTGCATGCATTTGTGGGACTGATCGAAGGCCTCGTGAACTTGAATATCTGGTCTTATCCGTGGCTTGCACTTTTTGATGGCTGGCTGGGGATCCAAAACCCTTCAAAGCATCTTTGATTTATTAGCTATTTGAGGCTAATATAGCCTACTATTCACGCACCTTGATGGCAGCTGTTATTTCGTGTCAATGGTTTCTGGTCCCCTCGGGGTCTCCTATTCTCTTTGTCTTGGTTCAGACCAACGGTACCCGTGGCTTGGCTGGTTGTTTCCACCCTATCAGTATCGACAGACATATTTACTCCATCGTTGTTGAGAGGTTCGACGACAAAATCCAGATCGCTTTGCGTGTAGACTCTGGCAAACACGTCGAAACCCCCGCCCCCAAAAGGATTGCCACTGAAGTCAACTTTCCTTAGCAGGTAGCATCCCTGAAATGACTCAAGAAATCTCTGCCACACGTCTCTCTCTTTTCTAGAAGTAACAGAAATCTGGTTGTCTGAGATGTCCACCTGTGTCAAGCTGTCATTGCTGAGCGCGATGACACGGCCCAACTTCTCCATAGATGCGACCGTCAATGCATTGCCCTTTATCGCGATCTCAGTTAGGTGGACGATGCCATCAGGATGCTCTGCATCGCGATACTGAATGCAATTTATAAGATCATCTACGAAAACTGCAAATCCCTCGTCGGTGACTTCTTTGCCTGTCAGATCGATCTCCACATGAGGATCTCTTGCCGCTGCCTTTGCTCCAATCCCAGGTGGAATTCGCTTTTTCTGGTGTCACGGTATTAGCCACCATGTCTATCTGGGTTATCCAAATGAATGGTATTAGACAGGGGTCGTTTTACAAGATCCTTCGAGACTGCCTGTCCTGCCTTTATCCCCTGGACTTTGCGCTATTTGTATGTCGGTTGTCAATGCCGATCCTTATGTTATTCGAATACATGAAATAAAGTAGGTGCTTCTTTCCTTACCCCTGTATAGTTAAATTTCGCCATTGAGGCTCGCAGTGGCTAGCCACCAGTGATTTTCCTATCGTTGTACACGGTCCGGCAATGGTCAGTATATCTGCCTGTCCCGAATGCAGCCTGTGCGTTTTCAACCTCTCACAGGCCCACCATCCATGTTTTGTCCCCAGTGGCCACGGCATGAATCTCACCTACTCCACAATGGGAAAAAGAATTGGAGAAGTTTTCACCCTTACCTATCAAGGAAACAGAATCTCTCTTTCTTTGCCTTGTGAGAGAGTATTCGTGGGCTGTTTATTCCGCTAAATAGTTCGTGGGAAAAACGCCTCCCCGATGATCCTAAATCCCGAGGAAGCTTAGGATGTACAGAGGAGATGATGTAGTTTTGAGGAACAAATACAGGATAAGGAAAGGGACGATGAAATGAGAATAAAGAGAAGATGGGGGGCAGCAACAGAATACCAGAGAAGAAAATGAACAGTCACCTATGCCCATGAGATATTGATCGGGAGTGTTCTATCAAAACGTGCTGTGGTTTTGCTTTGTTATTTTATGCACCACTTACTAGGTACACTGGTCCTTTATTGCAAGTAACAACCGCATAAGCACATACAATCTCTGAGTGTCCTCTCACAAATTTCTATAATTGATCTGCTTCATTTTCACCAGATTACTTTTCCTGCTGATATCTCTCGTACTCCATAGAGGCCGTAAGGGTTATCAGAGCCTCAAATAGGTATTACAGCCTCAAACCCCTTTCACATAAACTCCTTTCACATTTTGCAGATCTGTGGGATGCGATCTTCCAGTTATTCTGGATGATGCATATCATTATATTCCTCTCTTGCAAAGTGAAAAACTCGTACGTAAAGGAAGGGAATATTAATTAAAAAAACGATTTGAAGCCGTTGGAGGAAGTAGGAAGTTATTCATGCCGACATAGCGCATGACATTTAATATTCTCGAGATAGGTATGTAACTTACTATATATATATGACCTTTAATAATGCTCAATTAAAAGCGAAGAGATATTCCCCGAAAAGCATTAAAACACTCTCCCGTCAGGTAAATACCATATGATACCATAAATCAGCAGGGACATATACGAAGGAAGAATGTGCTTTTACCTATCCCACGATTAGCGCAATAAGTGCAGTATCACCTCTCATCATTTGCGCGGAACTCACGTCTCTTTCCCAAACTATAGAACACATGATATGTATGTAGGTACAGTACATGTTCTTAAAAAAAGTTCACGAGGTCTTTAAACTCCTCCAACAGCGAAGTATCAAGTCCTTCCAAGCTTCCAGGACGATTGCTCTGTTTTTCCAGCTCCTGGAACTCTGGCTCATCACCCGCAGCAGGTGGCTTATCAACCATGGTAGGGATATCACCGAAGTTGATAGAGAATGAGGCATCTATAGGTTGTTCAGATTCTGCAGGACTATACTTGCTTCGCTTATGCGGGATTTTATTGACGACATCGTAGCCGTAATCATTAACCATCATTGCGTTGTCGTCGGAGCCATTATTGTCAGCGTGATATGTACGTGATGTGCAATTAAAGCCATCTTTCCTCTTTTTCCCCTTGAAGAAATTCTGGTCGTTCATGAAATCTGAATCAACGTTATCGTCGTTGCCGTTGCCGATGATGATTGGGTTGGGGTCAGGCAAGGGGAATAAAGGGGTGGAGACAGTTCGAGTTGTAAAGGAGCTGTTGGTTCCCATGGTAGGTTGCTTCACCACGGATGAGGGTAGAAAGGGGTTGCTTACCATCGAACCCTTTTCTGGACTGGAGGCGGGTTTGTTGTTGGCATCATCTGGAAAAGATAGCATAGTATCTGTTTTATTCAGAACCATTGGCGAAATCGTTTTCATATATTTATCATCACCATTTTCTAGAGGGTGAAATGGAATGTATTCATCTCCATCTTCGAAGATATTGAATTTTTCATTGCTTTTTGTCACTTTCCTTTTCCTCAAGGGTGTGCCCAGCAAGGTATTGGGAGACGGGAGATCATCAACCCACGAATTCCCGTAATCACTGGAAGCATCTTTTTTCCTGAAGGGTGTTTTTGGACCTTCAAATCCATCGTCGTCGAAGAATGATAGGTCAAGCGAGATTCCTTTCGACAGTGAATATGAAATTTTCTCATGTGGCCCTGTCTTCCCACTACAATCTTCAATACGTTTTTGTTTATGAAAACTTTTGTCCCCTTTGGAATGGGACTTGGTAGTAGCCAGCTTAGAGCTTTTATTGTCATCTCCACACAGATCAACAATTTCGACATTCTTGTTTTTATTCTGTTCCCTTGCTGGATGGGGGTTCTCGCTCTTGGTCCATTCAGAAAAGTTTCGAGATTCTTTAGAGGTTTTATTAGTTTTCCCTTGTTGAACGTTTGATGCTGGCAGGTCCTGTCTCTTGTTCGGTTTAGGTGGTCTATCTATACCCTCCCTACAACACAGGTGTTTGCAACTGGGAATAATTCAGGAGATGTCTCTAGCAAAATGAATGTGTATAGCAGGTATTAATGGAAGCATACCTAGTTTTATCTTTACACCTGTGATTGCAAGCCCAATTCCCATTCTCAAACCGAACAGGCTCCTTAGGCTCATTTGCGTGTAAGTCTTTGACATTGCTACCCGGTGCAGCCTTTTGGTTCGGCAACGATGTTGTCTTGGGCAGATCATAGTTTCCATTGAATTCGTCAAGGGAATTATAATCTATATCTTTAGCTACATACGGCGCGATTAGACTCAAAATTTCGAAATAAGCTGATATATAAAACGCACCTGCCGCAATGAGATCTATATCATCGAGACTATCATCTTCAAACTCATCAACATCTTTTCGTGTCTCGACCCTGTTTCTAAAATTTTCGCTCCTACGTCTCCTGGACGTGTTCATAGTTTGTTTCGCCGCGGCACCATCACCAGGGATTTCTGATATCTTCGTTGGGAAACATGAAGCCGGGATATCATGCCGGAGTTCCGCCTGACGCATGGTCCCAGCTGGAAATTATAAGCAAGCGCGGTAAAAGGGGAATAAATTGGGAATCCATGGTGACATACCAATGTCATCACACATGACATAACATGAAATATATTGAAAGATGTCAGTTAATTCTGCACTTAGCAAAATATCATGGCCGTTCTGTAGTTTTATTGCACTGCACAGTTTCAGTCAGATATCAGGGGCGAAACCCTCTTTACACCATAATTTCGATCAATCATACCTAATACGTCTAAAATCAATCATTCGCCCATCCGACGTCTCTGCGAGAAAACAGACATATACGGGCTTTCGACGAAAGAAAATTGGGATCTTTTCGTTAATAAACCCTATCTCCGCTTTAAAGCCAATCCTAACGGTTTCCCCGTGCTTAATATCCTTTGAGCCACAGACATTAGTATATGAATTAACGATTTATCCACTTCCCAAAAGCAGCGACTAGCACACGTACCTTCCTCACTAACTTAAGAGAAACCCTAGGTTTTGGAAACTCTGCCAGTTTTGCCAAGATCCTCGAACCGAAGGGAGGATTTTTGCTTAGCAGCATTTCTATTCTATGAGGCTCTGTAGTTTCGAGGGCCTCGAGAGTATTAATACCAGCATTCGCAAGCTTTCTCACAGCCACGATACCAATCTGGTCTATCTGCTTCATCTGCAATGCAGAATTGTCCCACACCCTAGCGCCAATACCTCGAGCAAGTTCAAGAGCGTGTCTAGTTCCCACAGAGTCTTGGAGTGATATTTGGCAATCGATTATACATCGAATCAGACGATTGGCGTGGGAAAAAACAAATCCTTTATCCTGTTGGAATGACATCTTGTGTTTTTGGTACTGGTCGCCAGTTGGGATGTCGACTGAGCCCAGCTCAGACTGGATAAGGAGGGATATCTTGTGAGCTGGAAGGGCGATGTCAATTTTTATGGGAAATTTAATGCCGTTTCCCTTGTTCAACTCCTTGTATAATGATTTCTCACCAGACTTGAGTCGAATTTCTCGAAATTCTTCTGCCTGCGCAACAACTGAAAGCTATTCTCACTAACATTAAGTTGTGTAAATCAAGTAATACTGTCCATGTTATAGGGTACTTACAATCTCAGACATTTTAGCTTTTGGGGGTAAGGAGAGACACAACTTCATAGTTTCGAACTTGATGTAATACCGAGCCATTGCATCTCCAAACGCCGTCGATTTTAGGGGCTCCTCGTCAGTTACAAGTGAGCATTCCTGAAGACGCTTGATATTCTCTTCACAAATTTCTTTCAGCATTTCTTCCTCATCTGACCTGTTCGCTCCTTCTTTCAAATTGTAATGACCGGGATTTTGTCGCAAACGAATAAAGAAAAATGTTCCTGCAAGCCATCTAGTAGCAGATTCGACATCCTTAATGGTTCCAAGGCCAATGGCAGCGTTCAGATGGTCGATCAGGTTTAAATGCAGGCAACTTTCGAGAGATTCCGTTCCGGAAACAAGTTTCTCATAGTGGTTTACTCTTTCTTTTCTTGTCAGTATAACGGCAACAGCACTGTCATCGAACTGAGGTCTTCCCGCTCGTCCAAGCATCTGCATCATTTCCAGATCCGCATACTCCTTGCATCCAGCTTCCTGCCATGAAACCGTGTTTTTAATTATCACTAGATGACAAGGAAGATTCACACCAACCGCTAATGTTGATGTACAACAAATCACATTAATTTGGCCAGAGAGGAATCCGTTTTCGACAGCATGGCGGTCATTAGCATCAACACCAGCATGGTGAAATGCAACACCAGAGGAAATGGTTGCTTATGTTTGTTAGAATATCAACCATACATCTTATGTAAAAGGAAAAAATGTACACACCCCTTAATTCGGGATTTTGAACACCAAGAGGCTTGGTTGGACCACTCCATAGACGATTGGGGGGATTTGTAGATGTCCATAACTTGGCAAGATACTTTGAAGTTGCAATCGAGGAGTTGCGAGTACAACAGAATATCATAATTGGCTTCTTCTGTGAATGCTTTTCGATGACTTCGGGAAGTCTAGAATTTCAATCAGTCAGGGGATAAAGCAGAGCTTGAAAAGAATATCCTTTACCTTGCCTCGCAAAATTTATCAAACGCAAAGTCATTGCCATTGCTTTGATAGCCGTAGACGAACTTCTGCAATTTAACTGGTCTAAACTCTTCGCTAAACCTCTCGCGGTGAGCAGGGAGATGTTGGTTAGTAGGATCCTTACCCAGCCAGGCCGCAATATCCTCGGAGTTTGGAACCGTGGGCACTGAGCGCAACAAATCGAACATTAGAGTCCAGAGATTTCATTCGAGACACCACAGCTTCCAATGTAGCCCCCCTAGCCTCTTTCAAAATATGTACTTCGTCGATGAGAAACAATTTAACCAGCTGCATTAGTTTGATATGATCCTTCCATTTCCGAGTCATGCTGTCCCATTTCTCAGGGGTCGTAATGATAATATTCGCATTTTGAACGCAGCGTAACTGCGCGTGATCAGTGTCACCAGTGAGCTCCGCACATTGGAGGTCCAGTGACGTGAACTTGGTTTGCCAATCACGGAAGCGTTCGGAGCACAAAGACTTGGTTGGTGCCTGGTATACCACTTTGAACCGGCAGTTCTTGAAGTTTGTCACCAGTCGACAGATAGCCAACTCCATGACTACTGTTTTACCACTCCCAGTAGGCGCTGAGAGAACAAAGTTATCATCTCCTTGGTAGATAGAACGAAAGCTCTTGGACTGAATAGCATTGAATATAGGGAAAGGGAAAATAGATCGAAAACGGTCCGGCAGTTCATGCGTAGATACAAGCCGGATTCCTTGTATCATGGGTAAGGCATGATCCAATTGAATTTCATGGGATTTAAGTGGAGAGAATGAAAGGGCAGCTCTGGTCTGAAGCTCTGGAGATGAAATGGTCTGGGGAGAAAATGAGGACTTTCCAAGCTCCTGGTCATCATCATGCACACCATCCTTGGAAAAAAGGGGTGGTGGTCTCTTTCGGGCCTTGACGGCAAGTGATGGGCTGGAAAACAGTCCAACTTCAGATGAACTTGACACCTGATTTCGGAAAGGGGTGGACATGGTAGTGGAAGTAGCATTGGTAGCTAGAACGTCAGTATTGAACACATACATGCATATAACTATCACACAGAAATGCCTTAGACAGAAGAAAGAAAAGGATTAATACAGCTTTGAAAAAATTTGGAGTTCTTCGGCGGCATAGGCGCCAGCGTAGGACCGTATAGATCCTCCGATTCATCTTCCTGCCCATAAGCATCAGGGACATCATGTTGTCGCTCCTCTCCTCTCTCCACTCCTCTCTCCAGCTGAGCCAATAGCTCCCGATCTTTGACAATCAAATGGAGTTAGCTGCCATAACAGAGTTCAAATTGAAAGAAGGGGAATGAATATGAGAAAATATGATTCCAAACCGAATGCATCAAACGTCAAATCCAGATCCCGGTCCTGAGAACTCAACTTCTTCCGGCCTAACAAACCCAGAGGATGTAATTGCTGCTGTCCCCACCTCATCAAAGTCCGAGAACCTTCTGCAGCGGCAACAGTGCTGCTATTATCTCCGCTACTATTGCTAGTTGGTGTTTGTTGAACCGGTTGCTTCTTCCATTGCGAATTTGGCATTGGAACTATAAACGGCTTGGAAAGGTTTAAAGACACAGGGGAAGATGACGATATAGAGGCAGAAGAAGGTGATGATTTAATAGGACTTTTGAAGGTGCTAATGAGGCGGTGGAAATTGGATGCATCTCGCTTTGTGTGATCCATATCGATATCTAGTTGATCAAACCACCATTCTACCTAACAGAGGCACGAAGATTGGGCTAACTCATCTAACATAGACGGTGGCGGTCAATACACAAAAGTCTTAGAGAATCAAAGAGAACAGTGTCGTATTATAGAATTCTCAAGAAATGCAGAAAGAAAGGGAATGAAAATAGGGAAGGGCTATCTAGATAGTCAAACGAAGGGGAACAGAACCCCGTGCAGACACGATATACACGGGAAACAGATGTAAGCCATTCAACTGGGAAATTCTTCCAATCATGCTATGGCAAAACTGGAAGAGAGGCCATGAATGGGAAATTCCACAACGGTATGTTGTTGAAATAAGAATATGAGCTAGAGGTTGGAATAAACTAGGACAGGGAAAAGGGGCTCAAAATCACATGACCTGACCCTGAGTTTCCCTTCTGGAAAGAAAAAGATTAGAAGTTGAGTCAATGGGTATAAAAGAGCGCAGAAACCCACAGCTGAATCCAGACATATATCATTCGTGTCCATTTCTCACATTATATTGTATTATAACCCAACGCATGTCCATCCATCTACTGCATTTTCCCGTGTCATCATGCCCAGCATAATCCACTGGGGTAACTAACTATATGAATCTCCCAAACTCAATGGGGATCACTGAATTAATGACCACAGGTGGATATTAACAGAACAACAGAAAGGAGAGATGAATTAAGAAAATGTTCACTCAGGAGGGCTATAAACAATCCCCAGGAAAACTATCCTGCTTCCGTTATAAAAAGATAGAAAAGAAGAAGCAGTTCGAGAGCCGATGTAGGGGATATAGATCATCAGTAAATAAAAGACCACACCAGAACCAGGTGAATAAAGATAAAAGTCATGGGAAATTGTTTTCCTTGTATCATAGAAGACTTGGAGGTTTAAAAGGACATTAAAAAAGGTTGAGTATGGTATAAACGCCCCTATCCTTTAGTTCAAAGAAGCAAACAGAAGAAGAAAAAAAAAAAGGCTGAGAGAGAGAGAGAGAGCAAGTCAAAAACCCACAAATACAAATCACTCTTGTATAAAAATGTTAAAAATTTCAGAAGAAAAAGAATATCCATTCATGAACTTGACCACCTCCCCACAACCTCTTTCACTAACCACCAAAGCCTGTCTTCAGACCCCCTTCACCCCTTAATCCCCCAACCTCTCAACCCCAAACCATCCCGATAAACCCTCACAGACACGTAACGCTCACCCACCCCCTCTCTGCGCAAAATACGACCCCTTGAGCCTGGTCGCATGACCCGCAGGATTCGGAGAACCAGGCCTAGACGTCGCTAGCGCCGCGGACTCCGATAGCCCACGGGTCGTGGGGAGTTTTATCGATAAGTCATTGGGTGGGGAGAGGAGAGTGCCAGATACAGTGAGGCCATGGTTATTATTATCATTGTTATTATTATTATTATTATTCCCGTCCTTCGCTGCGTCTGTGGATGGGTTCGAGGGGCTGATGTTGCTGTTGCTGTAGTTGGCGAAACCGCTGAGTTTTCCTAAGTTGTTGATGCGGATGGGTGAGGGGCCGGTGTGGGTATGTTTAGTGTAGGGGTGGGAGTGCGAGTGCGAGTGGGGAGGGGAGGGGGAGGGGGAGGGGGAGGGGGAGGGGGAATGGGGGTGTGTGTTGGTTTGGTGGGGGAGTTGACTGTAGATGTATATTACGGCGAGGACGAGGGTGGTGCCGAGGAGGAACTGAGCATTTCATTAGCATTTCGAGAAGGATTTCCACATAGCATAAAGGGGGAGCTCACATTCCCACCAACCCTAAACTCAAACTCCCACATCGCTCCTAAAACACTAAGCAAAATACTAATCCCTGCTGCCGAATTCCTCAACCCATGTTCCCCGCGCGAAATCGCAAATGACGTCGCAATCCCCCCGACAGCCTGTACACCAATAACAGCCCACACGACCCAATTGTACCCCTCAAAGAACCCACCGCGCGCCACCTTCTCGCCATCCAGGAATACGACCCCAATAAACAATGAAGGGAATATCGAATATATAGCCAGCTGGACGTTGCGTATCCATACAGATGTTGTCGAACTGGCACTGTCCTTCAGCACCTTTTCGAAAGATACGCCTGCCAGACCCGATGCGATGCAGGAGCCAATGGTAGCCAGCAGGCCAATGTTACTGTTCATGTGCGGGTGGCCTAGCATGAGATCCTCCTCGATGCCTTCGTAGGTCGCGGAGCGCTTGCGCAGCATGTTGCGGTTCACTGAGCGCAGGTGCCGCCATTCGTCCAACGAGCGAGGGAAATGTAAGTGGGCGTGGTTAGGGTCAAAATCATTCGGATCCGTATGGGGTATATGTACGATAAACACCCCCGCAAGCAGGAGTAGCAGGGCCAACCATTTGCCTAGGGATAAACTCCTTCTCAGCAGCATTGCACCAAAGACGGCAGTTATGACTAGCTTTAGCTGGTATGTGACTTGGAACGTGGCGGCTTCGAGGTTCGAGAGGCCGACATAGGTGAGGGAGTTTGAGAGGGTGTAAAGCGCTGCTGGGACAGCAAGTTTCCAGCTGTCGCCGGTAAATACGACGGAGGAAAGATTTGTGAAGAGGGTGGTTGCGGGCATGGAGGGGGGGATGGTCTTCGAGACTTCGTAGAGGGCGACGGTGAGGCAAATGGCAAGCTTTATAACCTCGTTGAGGAAGACTGCGGTGGAAGTTATGTAGCGCCGGCCGCCAACAACGGGCATCACTCTGGAGTAATGGAGGAGCTATATAGATTAAAGCAGAGTTCCGCGGAAGTGCGGAAAATGTCGTTTAGTTAGCCAATCCTATCAGACAGATATTCAAATATTCAGGAACTGTTTGTTATATGGGTTTCTTTTTTTCATCATGTTATCTTTGAATCGATGTCTGTTTCGTAGCGACGCCAGGGCTTGAGGGAGAAATGGGAAAGGGAAATCTCAGAAAACTTTTCGTACTAAGATAAAAGATGTATATTGAACTGCTAACTATATATTGAGAAGAGAGAAGTTTCCGTTAGCAATGCACAGAATAATTTAATATCGAAGGAGCTCGCTCAATCACATACCAGGGCCAAGGAAATGTATCTGACTGGAACGCCCATCCAGACAGCGGCCACCCTTGAATCCCTCCCCATTGCAACGCGTGGGTGTTGTAAAAAGAGGCGTATCTCGTGCGTAGGCCTTCCGCTGGGGATCACGATGGTCGTTTAGATGCCCCAGGCAGTGGGTGTGATTGGATAATTTCGGGGGAGAAAAAGAGAGGTGAAGGCCAGAAGTTGGAGGTTGGAGGTTCGCCCAAAGTAAAAACTCCAGGAGTTGAGGAAAGGAAGATAGAAAAAGAAAGAAAAGAAGAGGGCAATAATTGAGCTCTCCCAAGGAAAAAGCAAATGAAAAAAACCCGATTTCAGTCCGATCTGCAGGTTGCTGGGGCTGGTCAGGCACAGGCACAGACACAGACACAGACGGGGGGGAACAGGGGGAGGCTGGAGAGTGGAGAGTGGGGACTCTTGGAGGGTAATGTGGTTAATGTTGCGTATATAATGCTATGGGCATGTTTTCTCCGTCAGGAAAAATGGATGAACAGTGTACCTAGGTAAATAGGAATATACGATGTAGATATTTGATGAATGGACAGTGGCAGGGAGGACCCGTGCATACGTTAATTTCAGGATCCGGAGGTTTGAGCGCGTCACACCACGCGCGGATTAAGCACTTTATTCGGAGAAATGAGCATGAGTCCAAGGTGTTATGGAAGAGAATATCGGAGGAAGATTCCAACAGGTATTATTTCTCCGCTGGAAGTGCCAACTACAAGTCTACAATGAAATAATAACAACAACAACAACAACAACCCATGGGATCCCACAAAATCCATTACTCGGTCTGCTCACCCAACCTGCCCAATTCACATCGCAATAGGCAATTCGCAGTCAGCTGGCATCCAGAATCCAAACCCAACCGCCGCCACAAGCTCAAGCCCTATCCTTACCATCCCTTAGTTTCATCGAGCCCGCTAATCAGATACAAGAAAACACCAAGCAAAACGCTCGCAGCTGGAGGGGGGGTCTGCAAGCGCTAACGACTAACAATCAAGAGACTCAGCACCAATCAAAGTCATCCCGAGTCAAACAGTTGAGTTGAAGTAGTTCTTCCCCTCCTGACCGCTTTCTGCAACAAAAAAACCTTCCATGCATATTTATGTCCTGTAACTAGTTGAGTTGTATAACCACTCTTAAACTCCAGAACGGTTCTGGGTGGCAGTGATGATGATGATGATGATGATGGTGGTGATGAGCAAATATTTCTATGACCAAAATACGGTATAACAGGCACGTATCCTTCCAACCGCGAGCTGATGAAGGAGATACACAAGTTACCAATCAAAATCTCCCCTTGAGAAAGTGCTGGATCCTTGCAACGAACATCCATGTAGCCATTCCGTCGAACGCCCAAAGCTTGGTTTGCTGCTTGATCGTGCTACAATCATATGATCTTTCACATCTGTATGTTATATGCTTTTATCCCCGCACCTAAAGCACAAATAGCAGATTCATTTCGACTCGCGTGAATTTTCCCTATATAAAATGTCAATTGACCCTTCTACCGAACGGTTCCTTCAACCTACTCGTTTCTAGCCCTTGGGCGACTGGCCCCACTTCGGGTGCAAGTAATCACTCCAGCCAATTGAAATTCGTGAATCCACGGCTATGAAAAGTAATTAATAATGATGATGATCATTCGGTGACGTGTTATTACTAAAATGGGACGAATCCAATGGATTGTTCATTCGTCTTAAGATCAGAATTTAGAGTTTCTCTGCATTAACGCGATTGAAGCTAGTATGGCATCTCGACATAAGAAAATCGGGTTGATATTATAGAGATAGATGTTAAGACGAGGGACAGAGAACATTGTGGTGACTCGATGAGGAATAGGTAAAAGAGTTCCTGTGTATGAGGGTTTTTACTGTCGAATCCAAGTTGAGCAAGTTAATATAAGACGAGGAGAATAAATAAACGGGGAAACAGGGAAGTACGAAACGACATGAAGTTAAAAAAAAAAAAAAAAAAATTATGCTATTTTACATAGCTCAGATGTCTCTCGCTGACACTCTGATCCTGCAGACAGACAGATTGAGAGACAGATAGACGTAAAACAGAGGGAAATGAAAACGAAGGAGTGGAAGCATGACTCCCTTGATATTACATATTAAAGCGGGCGACGCAGTGGGTAGACAATAGCAGGGAGCGTGCCAGGGAAAGCGTGATGTCGTACATGATAATAGCATGATTGGTGTAAATGGGTGTTACAACAGAACGGAAAATATTAAATAATGACGCAGATAATGCGGACGTAGATGCGTGTTGCGCGGTATAAAACAGGGGGAGGCTGTGAGAAAAGAGGCGAGATGGATATTGCTGATAGATAGGCGGTTGAGATAGAGTCCGGTCGTTCTCCGTATATCGCGCAATTTTGATCCGTACCTTCGTCATGAAGATAGGGACAATAGCTGAAAGCTGATGGGTGGGAAAAATAAATAAGTAAATAAATAAATAAAAGGGATCTGAAAATCAATATATGATGTACGGAGTATCCTTTCATGGATAATAATAATATCGATAGCTTCGGGCGCGGGTCCCGTCCCGTTTCCGAATTGACGAATAGAATTCCTGGGACATGTCGACCGAAAACCAACACTCCGTACACCCCATTTAAAAGCCTTCCACTTCTGTGCAGCACTGGCATATAAATATATATAGCGTGTCCCCAGGTGGATTATAATATCGAGGTCAATGCACAACCGCCAACCCAGGCGTCTCATTCCCCCATCCCACCGCCCAAATCGGCAAATCCGCAGCATCCATGTCCAACCCTGAACTATCCCTCTTGTAATCCACATCCCCGTCTCCGAACGCCATCGCATCACTGCTATCCGTCCTTGATCGGGAATGACGCTTCGTTTCATCGGGTGTCACTGGTGCCGGAGCGCTACCGCTGCTGCTGCCAGCAGCGGCGGCAGAGACTGATAATGGCGGGGGTGACGGTGAGCGTGAATGTGAGTGTGAGCGTGAGCGTGCTGACAGCGTTGACAGCACCAGTGACGAGGAGATTGGGTAGGACGATAGTGGCTGTGCGTGCATCAGCGTGCGTGGGGTAGGATTGTGCTGTTTCTGCTGCTGCTGGTGCTGTTGTTGTCTTGGGTGAGTATACTGTTTTACCGTTGGAGTGCGCGGTGAAGCCCAGCTCTTCGAGGAGGATGGGAGTGTGTCAGACTGCATGAGGCTAATACACGGTGAGGGGTTGGAGTGTCGGTCGCCATCGGATACGGATAGAGTGTGGTGATGCGAGAGGGACCTTTCGCTGCTTTCAGTGGTGGCGGAGGCGCTGGTACTTGCCGTTGTTGTTGTTGGGTATACGTGAAGGCTATCCCTGTTACTCCGGGCTTGGGGGAGTTCGGGACTTAACGCGAGGAATGATGTGTTGGCGGCGGCAGCTTTGGATTTGTTGGTCCTTTTTTTTTTTTTTTGGGGGGGGGGGGGTCCCCCCTCTTAATAAAAAAAAAAATTTTTTTTTTGTGGGGGGGGGTTGATTTGGTTTTTTTTTTTTTCCCCTCGTGGGGGGGGGATTTTCCTTAAATAAAAAAAAAAAAGGCGGTGGGGTAATTTTTCTTCTTCTCCCTGTAATATAGAAAAAT